TCAAAGTTTGAATATAGTTTTCGTTTTTTTATAGGTTTTCATATTCCAGCTGTTTTGAGTCCTGTTCATGTAGAAATAGAAGAAGATCGTTCACTGGTAAATAATAAACTTAAAACTTTTAGAAAAATATCCAAGTATCTTTTTGCCAATGTTACAAATATAAAAGTACTCGTGCATATAATTTCATTCAAATTTCATTGTGTCCTTTTGATTGAATATAGTTAAATTCGAGAGGCTTCACTATGAATTCAGTTGCAAGCTCTTTTCTTTCATTCATTGATGTCTCAGAAAAAAATCTGAATTATTTGGACGAAAGTTGCCAAATATTTCAATATCTGTAGAAATGTAAGCCAATACATTCATAGACGACGGCTTCAAAAGTCTGTAATCTTGGCGGCCCAGACAACAGAAGTCTGAAATTTGGCGGCTGCATCTACCAAATCTTTCAGGCTTTGGCGATAGCAACTGAAAATGTTTAACTTTTTTTGTCTTCGGTAGCGATTGAACTTTTTCAATAGCTTCTTTTATTAACTTTCCTAATTTCTTTCGCAATGAGAAAGTGAGAAAACAATAGTGAAGAACTTATTGACAAGAAACTAAACAAGAATATCTCCGAAAAATAACATTGAAAATTAGAGATTTTTCAAAAATCAAATATATATTTTTGTGTCATGACCACGACGTCTAAAATCTTGAGCAACCACTTTGGGCAACTCTAGCGATAGATACGTCTTTAAAACTTTGTGACTATCATCATCGATCCAGTCGAGCAGCTTATATCTGGGGAATACATGTATTTAAAGCCCGAAGTACATATAAACAATATGAATATATTACTTTGTACGATGAAGAATTAGTTGAAGAATGAATATCTTTCTATAGAATGTTGATTCAACTGTATTTGTCACACCAACATTAAATAAGAGTCGTGATGTTCATGTTCAAACATTCGACGAAATAGTATCACCACCAATGACTACAATGCCAACAATTGAAGAAAATCTCGAAACATCAACATCTCCATTACCACCACTTGTTGATATGTTATTTTCTCATATGAATGGTGTTAATCAATGGATTAATAGATTTTGTACAGGTCATGAAGGAATTCAAAATGATATAAGTACAATTCGAGTATGTGTAATTTGATTGTTGTTTTTGAATAAGATCATTTATTTATTGAAATAGGATCATCTTGAAAAACTTAATCGAGCAACAAGTCACATGATCTTTTCAAATGTTAAAATGTTTCAATCGAATTCAGATGAAAATAGTGAACATTGTCATTCGTCACATGAATGAATGAAAAATAAATATTTTTCATATATCTATATACAATTGTGTGTATATCTGTATTTGTCACCTATTTGATGTATATCTCGTTTTTCTTTTTTCCCTCATTATAAATATCATTTTTTTTTCGAACATCAAACAAATCTTGTACGAAATTGTATAAAAAAGAAAGAAATTATCAATTTATGAAAGTATTAATATAAGAACAAAAGAATATTTATATTAAAATTAGTTAATAGCATAGAAAATATTTCTATTTCCAGATGAATTTTTTTTTGTTGAATGAGTCTTAACAAAATGATCGAATAATTCATCAATAATTAATGCTTATTATCATTATTAAAACTGATTTTCGATGTAAGACACATCATAATACTGAACAAGATAATAAACATTTTTACTATTAAGCTCTTTCAAGAGATCAATCCTCTAGAGAAGCAGTAAATGTACGAGGAAAACCGAATACTCGATATAATCAAGCTGGTTTTATGTTACACATCATTATAAAAAACACATTTGTTGTTTTTTTTAGTATTTACTAGTAATGACTCAAACCAATAAGGTATGATTTAGAGATATAACGAATCTATTATATCATTTTTTTCAAGTACTTATCAAAAGTGCCTATGATATGTAATCTTATCAGTCAGAAATCAAATATTGATATAATTATAATAGTCATTTTAACGTTTTCTTTTGTTTAAGATGAGTTTTACGTGGTTAAACGAACCTAAAAAATGGTCCATCAATGAATCAACAATCGTCATTCATACAGATGCTAAAACTGATTTTTGGCGCAAGACACATCATGATTTTGAACGTGATAATGGTCATTTTTATTATCGTTCATTTCCAGGTGATCAATCTCTTACAGCAACGGTCAATGTACGAGGCAAATACAATACACTTTATGATCAAGGTGGTTTAATGTTACGAAATGATGAAAAAAATTGGATTAAATGTGGCGTTGAATATGTTGATGGAAAACAATTTGCTAGTGTTGTTGTTACTGTTAATGGATGGTCGGATTGGAGTGTTGTTCCAATAAATTCACCTGATGTTTTAAAATTACGTGTTAAACGTGAAAAAGAAGGAGTACATATTGAATATGCTGAAGGTGAAAATGGTGAATTTAAAATGATGAGATTAGCTTATTTTCCATTATTAGACAAATCACAAGCATTAATGGTTGGGCTTATGAGTGCATCACCAGGTGATGATACACAAGGATTTGATATTAGTTTTGAAGAATTAAATATTATTGAAAATCATGAAACGCACTAAAACTATCCTATATGATTTATTAGATAAAAAATAAAAGATTAATCATAATAAAGTTAAATTCAAACTATATAATTTCTTTTAAAGAATGAAACAATAATAATTTAGATTTTCTTTAGCATATCTATGTGAATCTACATAGATTATTTGAGTATGAATATTTTAAAGCAATCTAAAAAAGACGCATATTCATCATGATGCGAATCAATACATGTAATCCTAAGAATCAATAAAAAAATCCACTATCATAATTATGGGAACGAAAACACCTTGAAATTGACGATTTTTTTTCATACTTATAAAATATGACAAAGTGGTTTCTATAAAAGACCTTGTTGTCAATAATCATATTTATTTCATTTCATTTCAAAACCGTAATGCAACTTTCATTGATTTTGCTATTTATTCCTTTGACTTTCATCAATGGTCAACCTCCAGCACCAATATGGCCAAATTATTTTACATATCAATGGACAATGGCACATGTTTATGATGATATTCAATTGCCTCCTTATAATACAATTCCAATTGCAAACACAACTGTAGGTCGCGGTCGAACATATTATGATTGGTCACTTCCAGCTATGATTGAATATTATTATGATATATGTATTCCAATTTTTGAAGCAACGAGTAATAATTTTACATGTAATTTTTTGAATGCCAATGGCATAGCTTACCTTGTTGTAACTGATCCTCGAGCAACTGGTCGACCACCATGTTGTATTTATCAAAATCCATGGAGTCCACCAGCACCAGATTTCTTACAAAAAGCACCTGGAGTTAAATATAATGGTACAGGTGTATTTTATACACGACCTGTATTTTGGTGGGTTCTTGATGATCCACAAGATCCAGCTGGTCCATTTGGTTATTCATTTTTTGAAGATACATGTAGATCATCATCAACATCGAAAAATTTAATGTGTACACCATCACAATTCTTCTTTAGAGCTACTTCTGGTTTTGCCAGTCAATTTTTTGATGATTATAGGGTTGAAAAACCTGATCCAAGTGTTTTTACTATTCCAGATTCATGTAGTAATGCTCAACCATGTGATGTTTGATATTTTTATCTAATTTATGAAAAGTCGATTTTTATTTTAAATAAATAGAAAAAAAAACCATTTTAATAATGTCATTCTAACAGATTCACTAATAACAAATTTTTATCCATTAATAAATCAAGATTAAATACAAGAAAAAAAACATTATTTTTCTTTAACGTCTCACGTATCATACTTATATGTTATCAAGTGGTCTGCTTACTCACTTTTTCTCTTTTATCTTATTGTTTATTATCAACAAAAAGCAAGCAAGTTACAATTGTCTCTGGCTAATATCATGAATTCAATATGGCTACATCTTGATTGTGAACCCTTCTTGTGACCAATTAAGAAAACATGGCTGTTTTGTAGAGTCAGGACAAGATTGATTATGTAAACAAACTCATTAATGAAGCATAATTGAATGTCTAATTTTTATTAGGTTCATAATTAAGATTATCCTTGTCAGTTGTATTGAATACCTTGATATATCGATAACAAAAAAAAGAATGAAATCTCTTTCGATAACTATTAAAATTCAAAAACACTTGAATCAAAATATTTTCAACATGTGACTGATGTGTTGAGTCCGTTTAGTTGGTCTTGGTTCGAACATTTTCGATTCGACAGGTTCTAGTCACCAGAGAAATGCATAGGGTGCGCTAGTCACAAAATGCTAAAAACCCGAAAAAATGTCTCTTATCTTCGAGGCAACTATCCAATTTCGATTAGAAAATTTTATTGATCCAACACGTTCTACTGATGTAGTTCTTCTAGGGTTTGTCGAACGTTTTGAAGGTTGTTCTGATTCTAACCAAAATGAAAGAGGACACAAAGCATCTTCAACATATGCATTAAGAATATAATCTCTTAATTAAAGAAAATTTTGATTTACATGATGAAATGCTTCAATGATATTATAGAATCCTGGATTAATTTCTCTTATACAATAATTAACTTTTTTTCGCTTGTTTCCATAATGTGCACATTTTTTTTTCTCCAATTAACGAGAAAATGTACACAATCAAGACGACAAAATTCAATATGTATTACGATCTAATTAGCATGAGTTATAGGAAAACATATCGATAAGAGTTATTAATGTAAGTCTTCTTATTAGTCCTAAAGAAGCTGCTAGGATGTATCAAATAAATAAAATAATATTAGTTTGTTAACAAAAAAAACATGATGCAAAAATTTAACAGAAATTTAAATTGTTATGCAACACACTGAAAAGTGTGTTGCGAAACTTCCACTGTTGATTGATGGGAAAATCGATATTTTCTAAGAAACGAATAATTGTTGCATGATTGAATATTAAACATTTTCCTTCAAAAGGCAACGATGCTGTACTTAGAATGAGGGTTTGCTTTTTTGTCGCTGTCAATCGGGAAAGCTACGTTTCGACCAATCAGATGATCGCAGTCAGAATAAAGATCCAAACCGAAAATGGATGCTATCAATTCGATCATAAGATTTCATTGTTGTGTTTCAACGAGTATTTTCTGACTTTCAGTTCTTGAGATCATCGAGGATAGAAAATGAGAACTTTTGATGCCTGCGTCGAGAAAGAAGGAAAGAAAAACAGCTCACGAAGAACTGCATTAACTACTGAGTCAATTTACCAAATTTTTTTTAATGAACTTTATTTTTCTCACAAACTTTGGTTTCAATCTATTTTAAAGTTCACTCAAATATTTATCTTTGTTGTACTCAAGAAGAAATAATAATTCGAACATATTGCCCGATTAACCAATAGATATGATCTTTACTGATTCTATTCTAACAAGTTCTTTTTTTTTGCACACTTAATTGGACGAATAATGCCTGCCAATATTTGATACAGCTGATGAACTGAGTTTAACGGCAAAAAACAGTCTTCGTCAGAAATTTCGTAATGTTGGTCAAACTATTAATCATAAAATTTTATTTAAATCTATTTGTCTTGAGGATGGAAAGTGATCTTAATATCGAAATAGTTGTATGAAATTATCTTTTTCAAAATGACAAGATAATAGACTTTGTCGAGCTGATTATAGAATATTCTTTTATTTTGCTAGCGTTGAATTCATTGAATGGATATAATTCAACGGCCAAATAGCTGAAAAGATCTGTTTCTTAAAGATACAATGAAGTTTACAAAAGATTTCTTTTTTTTTATTTAGGTGAATGTTATTCCATATTGTAAATCAGTGTTTGAATCCTGCCATCAACTAGAATATATGAAAATTCATAAAAATCTCAACCGTATGCAAGATCGTCTCGGAATAATAATTAAAAGTTTAATACTCAAATAGCCATAATTGACGCGAAAAGACAATGATGATGCGATTATATATGGTTTAGCTTATCGTTCAAGATTAAAAAAAAAGCAAATCTTATTCGAATATCGTCCAGACTACACCATGTTGAACTTTGTATTACATTCATTACAAAGAATGAATTTCATGAAGAACCAATTCAGAATCATATATGTAACGAAACGGAACTTTTTCCTTTACTTGTCTAACTCTATTTCTTAATTAGATATTGGTGAGTCAGAATATAAGGAACCATCAACTGATATTGAAAGATAATTGATTCAAATTTGTCATATTAATACATCAGTTAAAATTAATGCTAAAGATATTTATTAAAAAGAATTGAAGAGAGAAGAATGAAACCGAAGATATGAAATTTTTCAGTGTTTGAGATACTTTTGAATTGATAGCAATTACATAGAATAGTGACAAGTGTGATTCGAACGTTGTTAATTGGAACAACTGCGTCAAGCAATTTCGATACCCTATATTTTGCCTAAACACTTAACTTGAGAAATATATGAACTATAGTAACATCTCAGATGCATATTTGAGAATCTTCTATCATTAGTTAATCAAAGCTGAATTTAAATGAAATTTACTTGAAGAAATTATTTATTAGTTTTTAGAAACATGATTTCTTTTTTCAACAAAGAAACTTGAAATTGGCCAAGATTATTTTATTAGATTATATTCATAAACTTTCGCTTCATTTTAGAGACGACCAGTATACATGCTCTAAAGTTTGATATAGTGGAGACATCAATAACATACGAACTACTTAATTGCAATGAACATATTGGAAATTTGTTTTTTTCCTCTGCTGAATTTTTATTTACTCACTTGTTCATAAAGAGTATTGGAGTTCTTATAGAAAAATAGAAAGTCATTTTTGAACTTTTCTCAAAGTGGTACGAGGATAAAGAAAAAATCTTGCAGTTTCACTTTCGTGCAAACAAAAAGAAAATTTCAAAGACAAAAGAAACATTCAAAATACAATTTTGAAGTCTGAGGATTTCGATTATAGAGGAAAAAAGAAATCAATATTCTTATTCTTTTATGCTTTTCGGAATAATGCTCATTGTTGAATGGATTGATACATCAGTTTTCTAATTCGATCTTATTTTATTTCTCAAACAAATACTATTCAAACTAACGACATACAACAATAAGATTGAAATCATTTAGAATAGTAATAGTCACATGTTTCAGTCGTTTATTATTCGTTGCATGTCAACCACACTACCGGATTTATGTTTTTCTTTTTCGTTTCTCTCATGTCAGTTAATTGATAGGTATATTCGCCATTATTTCAATCAACAAACCACTCAATTGTGAGTTTTTCTTCCAAAAACAATCATCTCCCATTGTATATAAAGGTACTGGTTTCAATCTATTCAACCATTATTCTTCTCTCTCATCAGTTAAATGAATTATTCCAATGTAAACTTGAATTAACCTCGCTGTTCCAAATGCCACAATAATTCAACTATAGAGAGAAAGATATTATTCGATTGATGGGCATTGATTTTCCTTTTTTTTCTTCATATAATGTATTATTGTTAGATTGGAACAGAAAGAATGATTTAATTCATGAATCAAACAATTTTCTTTTCCCTTTTTCTCTTTCCGATCAATTTGTCGGACGGCTCTGTATTCAACATAGAGAAATTCTCCATACTGAAACACAAGCTATGCCATAAAGGTCTCTATTACAGATGAAATCGGCCTGAATTTTTGAAAATCAATATCGGTTCCGGTTCCATCTCTGATCTCTATGATATAACACATCTCCATTATTTAGAGATGTATTGGTTACCTTGCTGATAGGCATGGTCGCATCTCCTCCCTCTGTCAAAAATCGATTTTCGTCTTAGAACAAGTGGTCTAACTGGAAATTTCCGGAAATATGGATGGGGGTCTAGAGACCTTGTAATAAAAATGTTATCCCGAAATATTGAGTTCTTCGAGAGTTATCTCTATATCAAGGGTCTAAAACTAGGTCTCCGTGAGGCCAAGATTTCACTTCCCTCCGCCCCCCCTCAATTTAACGATAAAGATTCCGGGAAAAAAGATCCATTTTTCTTAAAAAATTAAATAAAAAATAAAAAATCTGACTGTATTAAGTTGTTGAGCACAGTATTCTTTTTAATTAAAAACCTTTCCTAGCTTTCTAGCATGCAAAATGGCTGAGAAATCTGTGATTCACGAACAAGAAAAAAAACTGGTTTTCAGAAAAATAGTCAACAAAGTTAAACTTTAGGAATCCATACTTTTCTTCATACAGCGGCTCAGGAGACACCACATCGACCTGATGCATGAAGTGCACTTGCAAGAACATGCAGGATGTGTTATTCAAGTCAGAAGCCTATAGACAAAGATGCAATCCTTCAAAAACTCAAACTTAGCAAATATTTTCTGCTTGTGAATTTTTCATACTGCCTCTTAAAAATCATGAAAAAATCATCAGAAAATCTTTCGAAGCCATCGTAAAAGCTAAGCATAATGGTAATCACAAAAGTACGAAATATGAACTTTTCGACCATTTAGAAAGTTCGAAAAGATCGATATTTTTGACAAGACGAAGGGGCTTAAAGAAAGACGGCATATACAACATTTTCACTAGTTCTTTTGAAAAAAGAACTGTTGACCAGATCAGTTCATAAAAACTGAACTGATACGAAAGTGTTACAGTTCTAATCTCTTTGAATAAAAGAAAAAGAAAAATACTCTTTTCTCTTCATTACATTTACTTCTTCGAACAAAACAGAAAAGAAATTACAATTTTGTTTTAACAAATTCGACATTCTTACGAAATGCAAGAACATTAGGATGATTTTCAGACACTGAACGTTATAAGATACTCAGTGAATGTTCAAGAAATGAAATTGCCTTCGAATAGTCACTCATATTGTTATATACCAAACAAATGTTGTTGTAAGAAGAAAGCTAAATAGGGATCCGTTGGTACAAGAATGTTCTGTTTGATTTCAATGAATTTTTTATAATAGACAAGGAAGTCTGCATATTCATCTTGATCCTTTTTCACCGTTTCGAGATGATAATAAATGGATATTTTTTCCCGATTAGTTGTTGTTTGACCAAGCAAGATACTATATACTTCTTAGGCTTTATCGTACTTTCCATGGTTAATTAGCAACATATCCAAACCACATGTATTCAGTAAGTGTATGAAGATCTGGATCATTGCCAATGATCAATATTAAATCGACTTGCCTAAGACGGTCATTTCCATTGATTTGTTGTATTGATCCAATACGAAAGATGAAATGCATAGAGAAAAGAATTTCTTCTTCTCCTTTAAAATTACCAGCATCACGGACCGTAGCGAATAGTGTTGACGTGTTGAATTGATCAATCGTCATGATGAATAAGATGCCAATAAGATCGGATGTTGCAATCATTCGACGAACAAATTTGAGGAATACTTCATGTTTTATACTAGTTGATTAAAAGTTATTAAACGAGAAAAAGCCGCTCTGTGTCTTGAACATTTGATAAAAGTTAGTCTTCGACAGTCCTTGGCCGAGATAAACAGTAAATGATTTCATATATACGCATCCAACATATTGTTCTTTATGAAGCTTGGCAATATGGTTGTGAAGATCACAGATAAAAAATCCCATGCTCAAAATGAGATTGACCTCCATCATTCTTAGTGATCTGTTCAGCATCGACTATAAAAAACATTGGCAGATATACCACCAAATTGGAAGATGCTCGTAGTATTCTTGTTTGAATTCGTTGATATGATGAAGTTCTTTTGAATTGTCGGCAAAAACTTCACGACAATACGTAAGAAATTCATTGATATGACGTTGTGCCCAATGAATGGTCAACAAAATTTCTTTCATTATTTAGATGTGCATGAATGAAGAATCCAATTGGTTGATCTTCGATTTGCTGGTTCCACTACTGAGTGTGACAAAACTAATCGGAATAATATTTTGATCAAATTCTAATGCCGCTTGTTGAAGACTTTTATATATAGAATCAATATTTATTTGCAAAGGTTTCCTTTATTTTTTGCCAGTGTTTTATCAACTGTTCATGTTAAGCTTAGTTGTTACTCAAAATATATGTGGCACCGATTTGTGGAATCTCATGGACGACAGAAAGAATCGTTTGTCTGAAGGAACGAGAAACAATCATAAATATTTTCTCATCTTGAGTATCAGTTATAAGATCGATGTATTGATTCAAAGCAGTGAATGAATACACTTTGTTCACCATTTCTCTTAGTTTGCTGATGGTATTGATTCCATCATTGTTGTTCACGTCATCGATACTGGTCTTGATCCACATCAAGACGAAGTTCTGAACTATACGAGCATAAGAAAGCTGTTGTGGCTTTTTGCTCATATGTTCAGCTGGCAAGATACCAGAAGGTGCTTTTAGCGATTATTTCTTTTTGTCCATGGAGTGTGTTGGGTCTTATCAATGAAAACATTGAAATAAAATTACTTGAATTTATATACTATGTTGAAAATTATTTCTGGATGTTTCTATTTATTTTCGATTAATGTTATCGTTGAAGTTTTTGTATAGTTTTCTTGTTTCTCAAATGTTTGATTTCCTTACTTTTATCTGTTGTTATCTATAGTGTCAGAAAAAGATGAAAGAATGAAAAATGATAGAAATGCATTGCAACATAATATCACTGTGCCGATATTGATGACACGGCTCGATGATCCTCCTTTCTTCTCTGTCTGTTCTCTTTCCGTTGTTCTAATATATCACTCTCCTGTCTGTGCTGATATTGATGACACGGTTCGATGATTCTCCTTCCTTCTCTGTCTGTTCTCTTGCCGTTGTTCTAATATATCTCTCTCCTGTCTCTCTTCTATGTCTCTCCTATATATATGCGTATTATGTATGAAGTTGTTACACTCTGGGTATGTGAAGAAGTGAATAAACATCATTGCCGAGAGTGGCGGTAAGCTACTCCACCTCTATTCAGTTTGTCATTACGTATCAACCCAGTCAGGGCCTTTTTGATCGTTACAATCACAAACTGTGTCTCATTTCATTTTCTGGTTTGGTGTCTGGCCGTTTTTCTGCTCCTTCTCTTTATGTTTTCCTGGTTGTGGATGAAGGTAACACGCTTATTCACGTACATTCACACTCTGTGGGGCACTATATGTAAGCACATGGAACACCTTCTTGACGATTGGAGTAAATGGTATTGGTTAGACATCGATACTTTCACTTCACGTTTGAACGAGTATTTTCTGAGTTTCTGTTCTCGGGGTCATCACAATTTAAAATGATAATTTTTAATGCATACATCTAGAAGTCAAACAAGCTAGATGACACATACTAAACCCGTGGTGCACAGTACATCCCAAACTTTACTCATCGTTTATCCGATTACAAAAATTTTCGAATTCGTTGAAATGCTAAATTTATAACGAGAACACAAGTTTCTCTATTGTACAAAGTAGAACGATGAGTTTATTGCACGTTCTATTATATACACCACATGTCGCTGATAAGGAAAAAAAACAGGTTTTGTGAATTATGAATGAACAGAACTTTATATCGAAGTTTCGAGAAAAAAAATTGATCATCCACGAGCACGGAACTTTATAATAATGTTTGAACGAAAATTGTACATTTTTCTGACCTTGAGATCATCGCGATACAAAATACGTTTTTGATTTATGTGTCAAGAAAGTAAAAAAAAAAACTTGCGAACGATTACTATACAGTGCTCCGTCCTGCAATTTATATCGAAAAGTGTATATGAGTAATAAGATAAAAATTCAAATTTACTTCATCATATACAAGTTATCCATTTAAAAGAAACTGATTTGTATTGTAATATATGTGAAAAGGTAAATCTTTTTCTGATTAATTTAATTTTTCTATTTTGTTTCATAAATTTGTTCATTAAAATCAAATCTCAAACATGATTTTCGTATACATATTCGAGTGAAACTTTACAGATGTAAACATTGTGATTATGATTGTTTGTATTATTTATCATTCATCCTAAATTCCAATGATGATAAATTTAATACAATCTATTCATCGAAAATCATTTGAAATTGAGAAAATTTTAGATTCATCATTGAGTAATAGAAAGTGAAGAAAGAGACATCCGATTGACAACGATACAGCTTAATTTATTTATTTCTTTGCGCATATAAATAATTACATAAAATAGAAGAAATTTAAAAAAGATTATTTTTGTATTTTTCTATCAACTATTATTTGTTGTCGGACGTATTAAAGCTGATAATTCTTCATCATGTTTTGATTTAAATGAACGATAAATACCTAGGATAAGAAATGTTGCAAATAGAACTATAAATAACATTGAACAAAGCATAATCCATGTTGATTTTAATAGACTACCAGCATATAATGGACCAACAATTGTTGCTACATTTATAATAAAACGTTGAATACCTTGACCAATACCTTGTTCATCATTATTAATCTGTTGTGTAAATAAACTCGTACTTGTAACAACAATAAGTGGTAACGCAAGAATATCCAAGGCGACAAATAGAAGAAAAATAGGTAAATATTTTTGTGTACCTGGTTGGGAAAAAGGTAAAATGACAACAGCAATAAGACAAGCTAAACTAAGAAGAATATAACCAAATAAAAGTATTGATCGATCCGGATATTTTTTTGTTATATAATGTAGTAAAACATAAACAAGTGTTATTTCAATACCAGCTATTGCAAATAAAATTGATACTTGTAATTCATGCCAATTAAATTGTTGATTTGTAAATGGTGTTAAGGTTGTTTCAAGTGCTGTTTGATTAAAATATGCAATAAATGAAGTTATTAGAAGAACCTAAAATACGATCAATGAATTAGATTGATTTTTTTGTGAAATAGGATAAAAAACCAGTGTTGAATAGAGAATTGCATTGGAATCAACGACATGTCTCACTTATAAATCAGATTTAACATAAGAGGTTCTTTAAATATCAAAGAATCAACATCCTGCGTTCAACTTAAATAACTGATAGGCAATTTAGAGAACGCCGGTCGCTTCTGAAAATGACTTCGCCGCAGATCTTTAGTATTGAAGTGTAGGGATAAAAGTTTGAACTCTTATTCCGCTTCACAGATCCTGAAAGACACCTAAGCAACAACAATCCACTTGCGATTGTGTCATAAACAATGATAGATGTTGATTTCCGATTACAGACTGAATATCAGTAACATGTTGTTATTATATATGAACTTTTTCCTTATTGCATTTTTGAAAGATTAAGTAAAAGGATGGTGAAGAAATGTATTCCAAAATAAACAGAATAAAACAATTTTCCTATAATTAGCAATAGCAACTACATCGAATATTACGATTTTATTTCTGCAAGGATTACGCTAACAACTTTTTTGGAAACCATAATAACTATTCTTGAATTTATTACCTAAGTTAAATAAAATTTTTTTTTTAAAAATGTTATCGTATTTTCGATGATATAGAGTCAATTAAAAGTTTGATGTAAAATCGTGACAAAATATTATTTAGATTGTACAATAGAAAAATAAAACAAAATCATTTTTAATAAACATTATTTATTACGTACTATTATCACAGGTTGTTTGCATATTGTACAAACACGTTTCAATGCTTGTTTAAATGAATAATCATTTAATGGATTTGTTAAGACTTTATGATCAACCTCAAAAATATAAAAATTAAATTGTTTTTGTTTTTATTCAATATAAACTTACTGATGATAAAGTTAAATCAAAAAAGAAAAAGAGAGTTAAAATTGCTAGTATGAACCATAAGATTGCCATTAGTAAACCAGGTGAATTATACATGGTTACAGGAATACCAAACAATACAAAATTCATTTGTTTTAATAATATTGTAAAACATGGACCTAGTAAAAGACCTATTTGACGACAGCCTATAAACAAAAACTGTTAATAAACTTTCTTTTCTTATTATCTCAAATTTTGTTACCAAGTATCTTTGATAAAAGTTGAGTGCGAGTTTTTGGTGTTGATCTTCTTGATATTTCTGCTAATAATGGTGGCTAAAAAATAGATCGTAGTAAATAATATTTATGTGTAAGATGCTAGAAATTCGAAATTTGAGTAAAAACGTTTTTTTTTTTTATCATGATTGAATAGAGCACGTCGAGTTATGTATATTGAAACTTAGGTTTAGAAACATCTCAAGGAAATTCTTAAAAAAATTGAAATACGCCAATTCGGTAGTCTCAATATTTATCAAAATATTTTTTTTCGATTTAACTCATCACATAGCGAAAAAATTGTGTATAGTTTTCAAAAAATATTATTACATTGTTGAGAAAATCAGTTCGTTTTCCATATAATATCAAACATTATAAACGCGAATTTTTATTCTAATATTTCGATCATCAAAAGATTTAGCCGAATATCATATTCATAATCAACACAAAAATGTGTACCAAATAGTATATTCAATATTTAAAACTAATTTTTGTCTAAGTTCGACCTTAAAGAAAGCACAGGTGTGATAGTTTAAAAATAAGAGTAAGGAGGGTATAAGGATCGAAATTTGATGAATATGTGTTTTTCGTATTGAGTATATAATTCGGTGCAGACTTTTATGGTGATTCTGAATATAATATTCGACTAAAGTTGGGATAGTCAACATTTTAATAAAAGCATATCGACGTTTTTGGTGTATTTCAATTTTTATAGGCTTTTCTAATTTTTTTAAAATCAAGTTGCACTACAGAAACTATTGTTTGACTGTGTCAAAAAACAACATTTTTATAGGTATTTAATTAGACGAGTTCTATCCAAACATGATAAAAAAAAATTGTTTACTTAAATTTCGACTTTCTTAAAATAATTCTCGTACCACTAAACCCATTCCAATACCAGCAATTAATCGAGATATAACGACAATATAAATATTAATACCAATAAAATAAAGTATATTACCAATTATTTTAAACAAAATACCAAATAGAACAAGTCGTTTTAATGATATACCAATATCATTAAGATATCCTAGTATAATGCCAGCAATTGCACCTGATAAAGCAAACACAGATAAAAGTATACCCATAACGAAACCACCATAATGGTTGTGCATAAATATTTTTATATAACCCCAGGCTGTGGGTAAAATAATTGCATAGTCAATACCTAAAGATAATTTTTTCTTTGAAGAAAACAAATATTAAAACAAGAAACAAATTATTTTACCAGTTAAAAGAGCAATTAGAGCAATAATTAATAAAGTTGATATTCTTTCTCGACGCTCAATTGGTGTTAATATATTCATATCATTGTCTGAAATTTGATTAGTTCTTTGATATTCATCATTTTTTAATGTTGTATTTTGATTTATTCCAATTGAATTAGAAGATGTTTGTTGCTTTGGCGCATTATCACTTTTTTCTAATAATTCATGATCTTTTTCTTTATTTACCGATTGTGCTATTTGTTGTTGATAATTTATATGATCAGTATTCATAATAAATCAAAAGTAAATAAAAATTTCTAGAAGAATACATATTTAATATAGACAAAGAAAAACGAAGAATGCATTTTTTTTAAGGATCATTAACTAATCTTCTTTTTTTTCTCATCTCCTGCTTCCATACAATCATCATAGTGAATATTCCTCATAGAATACTAATTCATAAATCTTGTCTTTTATATATTCAAACAAAACTAATCTCAATGGGAAAAAAAATTTCTTTTTTTCCGTCGAGATTCTAATCATTATTAAACTAATAAATATTCGTATATGAAATATAACTCATGATAATTTATTCTATGTCCATATAGTTGAATAATTAATTATCGCCAGTATTGACAAGCGGGTTTTCTAGATAAATACTCATTATTTTGTACTATGACCTCGACATTTATAATAAATAAAGGATAAAAATTATTAACATCTGGAATTTTGTTATAAGATAGTTCGAAAAATATATTTGTAGTCGATTGTCTGTCTATAATAAAATTTTGTAAATGATTAATCATCGATACTATTCGTACCTTTATCACATGGTATAATCATGAAGAGATTTGTTTCTGTTCTTCATTTCAAGTTCTATTACACTGTGTGCTAAAGAACCGAAAAAAAGGATTCGTTCTCATACATTTTACATAATGTTTTTTTTTCTCTATATACTGCCATTACTGCAGCTATGAATATCTTTGATGGATGTAAGAGAGAGAGTGAAAGAGTAAAAGAATGCATACATACGTCGATGATTGACAATAGCTTACAAAAAAAGGATAAAGAATAAGAGACACTACTACTACCCGTATCGTATTGAATAACAATAACAGAAACTTGGAATCCCATGCACGTCGTTGATTATCAGAATAGTAAGAAAAAAAAGATTTTGTCATCTATCAACTCCTATCATTTTGATTAATCTACATGCGCATGTATGTCTAAATATGTCGCAACTATTACTATTTCAAAGCTTATACAATGACAGAAGAAAACGTAAGAGAACATTTTTTTAATCATAAAATGACAGACAAAAAATTTTCTAGGGAAACGGAGCTAAAATCATTTCCGTTTTATTATCGCTGTTTAATGTATAGGAAGTGGCTTCGGTCAACAAAAGGCATGCATGTTAGATTGAAGGTTACGCTTTTTGATCGACTAGAACTTAAACATTCAACCTTTTATTACTATCGAACAGAATTTATGTATTTGTTCAAATAAAAACTAATTCTTTTTTGTAGAACTAATCAAGTGTTAAGTTATGAAGTATAATCAAATATAACCTTTAAATATTTGATTATCTAATAAATTTTCTTGATAAAAATGAAAGTACTACATACAAATGTTTGCTCTTACCTCATCAGAGAATATCAAAAGTATGTCCTACTTTTGAAAAAAATTATATTCAGTAAAACTTAACCTAAAAATAAACAATTAGAAATTATTTACCATATTTATTCGGTAAAAATTCCGTTTCATCGAAATATATCTAGCATAGGTTTTATGTCTCTGTTGACAATATATATTAGCGATCATTTATAGTGATGAATTAGATAAGTTGTTTATTATTATTATAAAACTTCGTTTGAAAAGGGAAAATATGACAGATGGTTTATATGTCTGGTTATCGAGATAGATATATATTTTATTGTTAAGTGACTCATTGAAAAATACCATTTAATAAATGAAAATATGTAAAAAAGCTTACCATATTGTTTTTCAATAATGTAAACAGTTTTATGGTAAGATTAAAGAACAAAGTTGAACCGATAGTGTTCAGTAGCAAAATATTTAAATAAGCATTGACTCGATTCAGTATTTTATTCATATTTTCTCCTTCAGAAGACAAACTCCAGAAGGATCGGTCTGATCTTCCGAGAGGTGCTGTTCTTTCAACCATCACGCTGCAATAAAACCTTGTACTTTTGTCATTATGACATGAATAAATTAGATTTCTTTTACAGAACATTACCAAATGAACTCAGATATCCGTAAAACATTCCTAAGTATTTAAAATAATTATGTAAAAAAACTCGAAAAGACAGAAAAATGAAAAGTTTACATTTTTCTTGATCATAAGTGTTTATTTTTATAAAACTTCAAATCTATTGCACTTGATTAATCTATGTTATCATCAGCAATACAATTTTAATCTAACTTAATAACTCGACAACTCTTATACATTTCAACAGTTGTTGCTGTGTCGTTTCTTCCTTTGCAGTTACTTATTGAAATATATATATATAATCTTTTTTTGTCTGATGATAATATACATAATTCATGAGAGAGTCTAATTGAGGTAAAGCAAGAAAAAGAATACCGTGTTAGTTAATTTGACTTGTTAATGCGCACGTATTAGCATTAAGAAAATCATGATAGCACATGATGTAATATAATTATAACTTACCTATATTTGTACGTAATTACGAAGTTATTATTTTTATTTCTAGGTAAGGGTCATCTTGACTTGATCGTATTATATATTTGTATTACACAAGATTCAATTTGAAATGATTCAAATGTATTCGAAGATTATATGCTGTAGGATGAGAAACTCAATAGGAAAAAAAATTAATTAAAATAGTCGGTTTATAAACTTTTCTTGTCACGAATTATACAAATAAATCGATTATTCTAATGAAAGAAAATTGACAATGAATCCATTCAAACATTATAATATGCATCAAAAGAACATGGTTTACAAGATCATTTTTGAATTGTATAAATATCAAAATATTACTAACTGAACTTAGTACTATTAGTTTATTTGACTGATTGTAACTGATATTTTCATATTACAAGTAATAGCGATTTGAATACTAAATGCTATTTGTCGAAATAGTTTTCTAATCCTGACCTTTTTCAAAAATCTATTTTTGTATTCTTGCTCAAATAGCTTCATGTTGCTTGAAAGCAATGAAATATCAATGACAACTATTATCTTTTTCATCGATAGTGTTCGTAAAGATGAAGCTATATAATGATAAAGCATCATAGGAGAAATATAACATTTTGATGCACTTTAAGACTCAATGATCATAGACTTTGAATATCTATAACAAGGAAAAATCATTCGATGTTATTCAACATGACATATTTATTAATCAAATCTAAATAAATTCTAAGATTAGATGAAATAATTATTTAAATGTGCATTTAATAAACAGTTTGAATATGTTATTTTACAACACTCTCCTATGAAAATCATAGACAAACAAAAAATGAATAATAGTCTTGTATAACTTTTTATTTGCACAATCATTTGCTTGATTTATCTCACTTGCTCACTGAAGCAACAAAACCTCGTATTTTCATTACATGTCAAGTCAAAAAGCTTCAATACATACATACAGCAGTATTCATTGACATAAATTCTTACTTATTACCTTATACGGTTGAAGAATCAAAACCAATAGTCCAAATAGAAAGAAGAACATTTTTGTCTTTTTGACAGGATGGTAATTGATTCAATTTTTATTTCTTTTAAGTAGGACTGGCTGATTAAAGTTATTACCTTGACATGTATTCTTTTTTGAGAGAAAGTACTAACTATAAAACTTGAAGTTTCTAATAGTAATAAGGTTTATTTTGAGTATGTCACGTTCCATATACGTTAATACTAACGAACAAAGGTAGAAGCCTTGTAAAAACTTTTCATCTAGTAATTCATAATGATTGATATTGAACAATCTTTATGGTTTGTTTTTTGTGGCTTTTTTCAATAAAGACATGATTTTTTTACAAGAACTGATAATTTCTTATTTGAAGTCATTATTTAACACGATTGAAAGGCTTCTGAATTCATATAAAACTATTATTGAAGATAGAAAGATAATATGAACTACAAAATATGATTTGTATGCGATGTTTCATATTTTTTATGTCTAGATATATTTCACAACTGTGTAAGACTAGGAGTTAACAAAACTTTCAAAATAAAATAAAACCTTTTTTAAACAATTAATGACAATAGTATAGTTTAATATAATTTTGCGAAGGAGAATTTTCGACATTTTTAGTTAGTATGGTCATGATCAGCTTTAAAAACATCACTTGTGTTTTAAACTTAACTATATTTATTAAGAAACAAACAATGATAACTAGAAAATCGAACTACAAAAACAAGGCATTAACTTTAATCTATAACATAAATCCATGCATATACTAATAGACATGATCCTGATTAAGATATAAATGTTTGTCTTTAAGTCAATACGGTTTAATGAAAGAAGGCTTCAATAACAGGAAAATTATAAGAAAACATACAATTACAAGTGAAGTCTTTAAAGCTGATAATGATCGTACTAACTAAAAAAAGATTGAAAATTCCTATTTGCAAAATAATATCTTGAGAATCGTTTTTTGATATTTTTTAAAATGAAAACAACGATTAGAAAATATTAGCCATTGAGAGTTGCTATGAGTCAATTAAAAGCAGTACAGAAAAGTAAACTGGAAGTTTCAAGATGGAAAAAAATTTAGTTTATAACGAAATTAATTTTTTATTGCTGGTAAACTTTTCCTGATCATCATGAACGCATTCTGCATGAACCAATACTCTTAGTATACAATGCCAAAGCATGACCTCCATATTTGGATCCTTGATTTTAATAATGTGAATGTCAAAAACTTTCGGTCCATGTTTCTAATTCCTTAAAAGCATGAAAATCGATAAAAGCGAGCAAAATAGACTAGCTTCAATATTTGAAAAAGTGACCGGCTATAAAATTGCCATTCAGCCACATAGATCCGATTTCATTTCTATACCAAAGTGTACACCTGAATCACAAGAATCTTGCCGGAAAAACAATATCTGACCTTTTAGGACAAGAAGTTTATACTGAAATATATGTAAAAAGAATATTGACTTAAATTCAACTGAAACAAGAGTATGGAGATAAGAACTAATGTAGATGTTTATAAAAGTCTACTTTATTGTATTGATTGATTAGATAGTTTTGCAAAATTCACATTGTTTAAATTGGTATTGACTTAATTTTGTAACGGATTTGATATTCCTATGTTTGAAGAATAGAAAACAGTTGTGTAATTTTATTTTATACATTTAAATTGTCAATGAAAGTTACAAGTAGAACACATGCAATGTGTTGTTTTCATATAGTTTATCTGATATTCACAGAAATGTGACAATCGATCAAATGTCTTATAAAACAGCTTGTGAGATTTATTAAAAATTCAAGTTTTACTATTTCTGTTGTATTGAATATTTCTATTCTATGACATATTTTTGACAAACTAATCATTGAAATCCATTATAAGACTATACATTTTAAGAGACCAAAGAGAAATACATTCTCTTCCGAAATATTGTTTCTTTATTTTTTGAATGCATCGCCGATTTCGAGTACGAATTCAACTTCTGACATTTTATTTTGAATATATTTGTACGCCATAACGAAAGAACTTGAATCCTGAGACGAAAAGAAAAGTTTTGTAAATCAATACAAACATTCAAAAAAGTTCATCAGTCTAACATGTAATATGATGCTAGTTGGACGGGTAAGAACCATATTATTTTCTTATATATTGTAATCAACTATTTTCAATGCTATTAACACAATCACTAATAAAAAGAAGCTTATGCTCTAAAATAAACAATTCCGAATGCATTATTTTTATTCATTTTTTCAGCGGAAATTTTCATCGATTTCTGTCAGACATGTCCATGGTGACGCTGTCGAAGCTTCATAAATACTATCGTGGCAGCTTCTTAATTTAGAAAGATTGTAAAATTACACGGATTTGCTTATTATAATGACGAAAGAGATTTTCAAAGACTTTCTTGAAAATAATCATGGCATCAACAAATTTTCAGTCGCAATGGACATCTTTGATTCCTATCAATCATTTTGTTTGCCATTATCAGTTTTATTAACAGTTGCGCACATAAGTTCAATTGAATCTAAACTTTGTACACAAAAATTTTACTCATATTCAATATCATCGATAAAACTTTGAAACTTCATTCTTATCATGAATCGGTCAAATTGCATTTACGTATTAAGTGATATGAGTCTTTTCTGAAATGAAAATAATAGGATATGTATAACAATGTTTCTTTAATAATATAAGACAGATATTGACTAATAATAATTGTAAAATTATGGCGATATATTGCGTGAGCAATCTGACATATTTTGTATATTAATCATGTTTGCTTATAAGATTTTAAAAGCAAACATCGAAATGATGTAGGCGAAAAGAAAACTGAAACATGTTGTATTTTCTTAATAGTTGAATGATTGTCAACTAAATTAGATTTCATACATTTTTCTTATTCACAAACTTCTCTTTTTTTTTTCTCTAAAACATTTCATAGCATAAATTCATTTCTAGGTTATAAAAACTTTATCATATTGTCGTTTAAAACGACCACGTCGATCAGTTAAAAATTCAATAAGTTCTGGACCATATTGTTCAAATAAAGCCCATTTAGCTTTTTCTTCTGCTGCTTGCCGTTGAGATTGAACAGTATTTTCACCACCTTTCATTGCTTCAGATAATTGTTGAAAGAAAATACTTGTTCGTGCATCATTTGTAAAATGTAAGCCGCTCTCATCAAAATGACGTAATGGTCGAAAAGATTCTTCACCTTTTCTTGGCTTATGTAATGTTTGTATATCATCAACATGACATGTAGCATAGACAACAGGTCGTTGCTTTTGTTGTTGTCCAGATGTTTTTATATCGACTAATTGTTCGTTTCTACGACCAAGAAATTTCTTTACATCATCTACTGTCATTTCTAAATGATTCATTGAAATAGATTTAAAAAAAAAATTCTTTTTTCTCAAAATATAATAAATACTTTGCAGTAAACGATAGATTTCAACAGCATCACGTTTAGGTGGCATCTTAGTAAATGGATCACGTGGATAATTATCAGCTAAATCGGGTAGATAAGGATTTGGTTTGGCATGAGTTGAAGTATTCCAACGGTGTATATTTACAGATGTTGATGGTCGATTACGCTTTGGTATAGTAGATTTATCTGTTCGAGATTGATTTATCATATATTCATGAGAAATAGCTGGAAGTGTCGTTTGATTTTGTGATTGCTGTTGATCTTGTTGAACTACAGGAGTCAATGGTTTCGTACCCAAAAAAATATACAATAAACAGAAAAAAAAAACATGTCTTTATGTTAGACACTTACTTTCTTGTGCAGTTTTTGGTATTGCAGATCCTGTACCTATATCAACTAACCATTGATCGAACTTTTCCTATGTAAAATACAATGACATTTTTTTAAAATACATATGAAAAAAACTAAAGTTTATTTACATCACTTTTTTCTTCAAATAATATGGCATGTTCACGTTTGATTTCAAGTAAAAGATCAGCCATTTTTGTATTACGTGATACAAGACGTTCTTTTGCCGATAAATGCTTATTTTGATGCCACATAGCAGCTGCAAGTAATTTAGCACATTTTTTATTTCCCCATAATTTTGCAAGATCAATAGGTAATTGTTTACGACTATCTTCAGCATATACATCAGCATCATGTGCAAGTAAAAGTTCTAAACATTGTACATGACCTTCAGAAGCAGCTTGATGAAGTGGTGTTAATTGATCATCATTAGTTCTAATAAAAATAAATTAAGAATAAAAAACAACAACAATCAATTTAATTAAGGATTTTCTTTTTATTTTATTTACATATTTATTTTTGCTTCTTTCTCAATAAGAAATTGTAAACATTGAAAGGAACGTGAACCAGTTTCTTTTGATATACATAAATGAATTGGACGCCAACCTGTTGAACTTGGTAAATCAATATCAATATGAACTGTTTCAACGAGATACGATAAACAATTAAGTCGACCATGTAATGCAGCAAGATGAATAGGAGCAAGACCCTATATAAATCGAAGAAATTAAATTATCAATAAAAAAAAAATAGTTTCTTTCTTGAGAATATTACATCTTTTCCATAAGTTTGTTCAACACTAGTTGCTTCACCACTTCCAATAGGTCCATCTCTTATACTTTGTTTAAGCCATTGTAAATCTCCAATAGCTGCTGCCATACAACTATCACTAACAGCTCGATTTTTAGCATCAACAGCTGATTTTGATGAACGTGATGATGTAGCACGTTCAACAGGTGGACGACGTTGTTGTTGTTTTGATGTTGATGAATGAAATTGTGCATTTGAGGAAACAATAAATGGCTGTGCATTTGGTTCCAGACGAGTATCACGATGTAAACGAATGTTTGATATGGTCTCGTCTGACAACATACCTCTTTTTTTGCTTCTTTCTACAAGAAAAACAATGCTGTAATAGAGAACTCAGTTGTCAAGTCTTTTAAAATGACTTGGAGACTCATATTATATGAAATTTCAAATAAAATTATTGCTTTAGGCAAAGAGTATGTGTCAATTCTGTTTTGATTATATTAAAATTTTGAAAGAAAAAAAAAATAAACAAAAGTTTCAATCACTATAAAAATAAAAAACAATCAAGGACAATTATTTAGCAAAAAACAAAATATACAACAATTATGAATTGGACTATAAATGATTTAGATTTTTTTAAAATAAATCAACTTTTTTTTCTAACATTTATGAAGTAATAATAGAAGACATAAGAAACCTATATATTGACAGGGACAATATATATATATGCATATCATTAATAAGCACTCGGTATACAAAACTTCGCCATGAATATCAAAATATGATAGAAACAAAAATGACGGAAGTACGCTTATTCTTTTTAATACATAATTATAACATTAAATTTTTGTTTTAGTTGAAATATTTTCTCATTCTCTGAATATCAAAGATTTTATGTATTATTTTTTGATGCAGAATTATTTCGAAAAAAAACGAAAACCAATACTGCATGTTTTATCCTTGATCGTAAAAAATGTAATTCAATCATTTAGAGTCTCCATTTACAAATGTTGAAATTACGTTCTTGTACCAATTAAAAAAAAGACTATCTTTTTTATTCTGAATACAAAGTATATATATGCACATATGCTAGCGTTACTACCTACTGTGTGTCTACTGTCGTTCTCTCCTCTCTCCTTGTTGCGCTTGCTTAATGCTTACCAACGGCGCTCGTTCAACACAAACAGAACTTCACACCATGATGTGAGAAAAAAAAAGCTGTTGCTTTCCTCTTTTTTTTTTTCTTTTTGCTTTCAAGTTGTTTTCACTATGGTTGCAATGAATCTTACTTGATGTTACTCGTGTTTCAACAGCATCCAATCATATACCATAGCTTTCTTCCATAGTGAATCCAATTAAATTATTAACTGTATATTCATCTTGACAAATAACAGAATGAAAAATTCTTGCCATAAAAAATAATGTAATTCTTACATGTATTCACATCTAGATGTCGACGTGCCATCAAATTAGGAACATGTACAAATACAGTGATGAGAGAAAGGAAAAAAAACCGAGAACTACAGAGAAAGAATAATGTCTCGTTATGCGCTTCAAGCATGTCATTTATCACTTTTATTGCTTCTACTGATTTCTTCAAGTAATAGTTATAGATGCTTTGTTCTATTGTTCGACAATTATGGTTGAAGCGACCGCAAAGAAAGAGTAACTGATAATATTTAGGTTTTCTTTGTAAATATTCAAATTGTATGTGTAAGTTATAATTATATACAAAAATGCATCGAATCACATTCAAATTTGACATTACAAACTTTTACGAAGACAGAAAAAGTAATGAATGTCTTTTTTGTATTGTTTATTTTTTTTTAGGTATGCATAAAATATATTGGCATCGTTTATTACTTCCATCATTAATCCTAACAATTTTGCCATTGGTTTTTCTTGTTTTTACTACTAAATGTCAGACTAAACAAGGAAATACTATTTCAGTTCCTTATGATCAACAAAAAAACTTTTTTGACTTATCACAAACAGTTTCTATTCAGTCATTCTCAGTTCCATCACGTTATCTAGTAATACCTTATCAAGAATTTGTTACACGTACATCTATGGCTTGTCGAGCGTTTAAACTTGATAATCCAGGAAAACATGTAACTAAGTTTCATCCAAAATATTCAAAATATTTACGTGGTCGATTTCCTTATGTTTTACCATATACAAATATAACATATGATAATATAGAAAATTTCTATACAAAAATTTTAGTCAATAAGAAAAAGGATACTAAAATAATAAAAACATCATTTGCAAATAATATTACATTTGAAAATATACCTTACATATTTCAAGATGGTATGTGGTATCCTGTTGGAATTAAATCAATTCAACGTACAGCTATATTAGTACCATTACAAGACCGAGAATATAATGCTAAGACATTTTTATTAAATATGCATGCGTTTGCTAGACGACAACAACTTACATATACAATAATACTTATTGAACAGGTAAAAAAAAAGAAAAACAATGAATTTAATTCCAATAATGATCAATACAGATTTATTTTTATTTTTTTAATATTATTTATAGAATAGAACGTGATTCTCTTATAGATTGAATGTATATATATATATATATATATATGTAGGCAATTTCATTTCTTAGCGATTTAATTTCCCTAAATAAAAATGCGTATATCAGTGTATGCGAAGCTTTGTTTCAGCTAATTTTGATGTATTAAATGTATATTAAGTTACTGTCGGATAACCTGAAAAACTTATCCATATAGAAAATTTCGTTTTGTTGAATTATTATTATCTTGGAGATTTCACAATAAAAGCTAAACAAACGTTCTACACTTGTACATAAGTATATGTTTGTACAAATCAGTTTTAGTAGAAGAATTTTTGTTAGTCGATCATAGATATAGTTTATGTCATGGAATCTATTGTGAAATTCTTGAAATTTCTTTATCATTAGGTTAGAGAGTAACTCATTTAGTATATTTAATTAGCTAATTAAGTTCAATTAGCTATGAACAGAAAGAACCGATAATTTTGCATGTGTTCATAACAAAAGAATTTATTCAATAAAAACAAAAGTATTAGCACAATTTATGCAGGATTAAAATATATAAACACAATTATTTTACTTAATCCTTCATAAATTCGATAAAGAACGGATTCATATATTACAAAAAGATGTTATTAATATACATCTTTGATCGTATATCAACATCATTTGTCATATCTGCGATGAATCGTTGCTAAGATTATCTGTCATGTCTATGTGGGATCCAATTTGTTACTTTTAGACTTCTTTTAGATCGTGTTTCACAAAAAAATCATGGTGAAATCAAAATCATCTGCATTTTTATTCTTATTGCATTTGTTTTTTGGTTCCTTTATATTTGAATACATTATCAAATAATTAGTAAATTGAGTAGTTCTTTTCAGTGAATATTTTCGATTTTTTAAATATTTGCAAAAACATATTTTTTCACTGTGAATAATCTTATCAAATTATAATTATTGCATACATTTATCTAATTCATTAGAAAAATCAAGATATTTACATATGAATAATACTAACAAATATTGGACTATCTTTTGATTTATTAATGTAAACTCTATTTTTTAAGCAAGGGTAAACAAAGGACCAGTCATTTCTCTAGTTGCGACAGCACGTCTTGTGTCGAATTTTTGTAACAAAAGTTCTAATAATAAATGACCACGTTTTATATTTTATTCTTTTATCATTTAATACGCTTTATTAAAAAAGCAAAATATACCACAAGATACCATGTGAAAAACTCTATAATCTACAATACAAACCTTATTTTATATATATGCATGTTTAGTTTCCAAAACAGACGAAATTTTATGTGATCAATTTTCGATGCTACGAACAAGATCATTTTGTTGATACACGAAGAATTCTTTATCTAATTTGATCAATTAATCAATCATAGTTATTACTGTTTTTTTTATGAATAATGTTTCGTAATTGTTTATCAATCTGAACTGATGTTATACTATCACCACCAATCGTTCGCATAAGCACTTTCGTACATTTTCAGATTTCATCTCTTTCCATTATAACTAACACGCTTACAAAGTTACGATTTGTTAATTATGAAGTTCGTATGTCTGCCTTACAAAGAACATCAGAGTAACCGAAAAAAAAAATAATCGAAACACATATCAATTGAGCTAAAATCGGCCATCGATAATACTCATTAATCAAAGAAGTAAGAAAAGGAACTCATTCTATACCAAAAAGAATAATTTTTTCATAGTATCGAAATTTGATTATATAGAATTTTATCTATGTTGAAAACTAAACATGCATATATCTAAAATAAGATTTGTGTTAAAGATTGTAGAGCTTTTTACACTGCAATTTGTAGCACCTTTTGCTTTTTTTTAATAAAACGTATTAAATGATGAAAAAGTAAAGTATATTAAGTGGCCATTTATTCTTGTCCATTCGTTATGAAGAAAAACATTACATTCGATCATGCATAGTTAATCAGAATACTTTGCATTTTCATTTATATCTTTATGCTTAAATATAATTTTGTACTTTCAGTATAGAAAGATAAAAACAGTTGGGACACATGAGGGGTGTTCTATAATCTTTTTGATATGAAGCAAACAAAGATGTAAAATGATGCATTGAATATCATAAAATACGTAAAACAAACGAATTAGTTAAATATATTGATAACATTTCAGATTTGTCAACTCGTTTTTCTTTGCTTAGTGTCAATTACGTATTGAATTCACAAGCTTTACTCTGCTATTTAGCTAGCCAGTTTAAAATGACATCTGTCTATTCTTAAATAGTAGTTTGTCATGAGCAGGTCTGTCAGATCAACTGTTCGAATCCATCCTCTGTTTCTTTGTTTTTTCTTGCTTTTCTATTCTGCTAACTAGTCTGAACAGAATGAACAGACTAAACGGGCTAGATATGATGAATGTAACTACGTTTTTAACTAGTCTAAATGTAGTTGAAGGACATTTCTCGAAAAGACAACTGCTTCGGACGCAAGGGGAAAAAGCGGATCGTGGATCCTGTGGATCCTAATTGACTCTGGTGGATTCTCATGGATTCTAATTTATCCTGGTGGATCCACCAGGATCCGTTTTTTCCCCTTGTTTGGGCGGGCATACAAGGCGTTTCAAATTACATTTGATGGATGGTGTGGATATTTTAGACTAGTCTTGCTGAGCATTTTCATTGCCTTTTTGCTTAATTGGGAAGTATCGTTCGAACTGACGTCTAATTTTCACTACCATGATCACTTTCTATTCTTATGTTGAATCTGGATTAGAGACGGAACTAAAATACTAGCGACCCTCTTGTTTTTTTGTAGACGGGATCGGAAGGAGTGGCGAGGAAGGGGCAGATGGCGTCATTCCTACATTTACAGTATTATCCAGAATAGAACTCACTAAGAAAATAGTTAACGACGAAACTAGAACACTAACTACTCTCTGGTTTTAGGGAGGGTAGTGGAAAGTGCCACTACTGTATTGGCATTGTGTGTTTTTGATAAAACGACGCATTTTGTAAACGTGCCACCTGCCATTACTCCCTCCCTCAAAAAATGTGTGCTAGTGTTCTGATTCTACCACTAATAGAGTTGTGCAGGACCATGCGTTTTGGTTTCGGCTTTAATCTAGACTAAACTTATGCTAAGTTTATTCGTATCGTATCTAGCAAAGCTTTAAGTCCTTGTTTTCTTTTTATTTAGTCGACGATTAGCACTTTGTTAGATTGTCTCTCTTGAATTATGTCCTAATTGATATGATTTATAAGATAATTCGCTAAAAATCATAGAACATTTAACTATAATATTAAGTTTCTATTGGAACAACTTTTGTTGCCGTAGTTTCGGTCTCGGCCACTTCTTTTTTCCATGCTCCCGGTGGCTTGAATAGGAACTAATATGGATCTCGCACATCTTTACTCATGAATTAGTAAAACTTAACATTTAATTCGTGCTCATTTTAATATAAGAAATGTCAAACGAAATTTCATAGCAATTAAAAGTAGTTTGCTTATGAGAGAACCTCGTCAAATTTCTCCTTCTAATTTCAATAATTGTTTGCCTACAGATACTACATAATGCTCTGCTAAAAACCCAGAAAGGATTTGAGTTTCCATTGAAACTTGACTAAGCTATCGAATTTGCAGTATGTCTATTTTCTAGAAGCTCCAAGCTTTCGAAAAACTCGTATTTTTGGATTTCGATCTGAAACTTCGTGCATAAAGAAAATTTCATTAGACTAACTTCCATAGAGAATTTCAGAATTTGGAACAAAGTCTCTTCGAAATAAGAAGCTTGCAAAAAATGCATTTTGTTATACACTATCCATGGCAAAGGGTCTATTTCTTGAAAGTTTCATATTACAAAGAGATTTTGTTCAAAAATTCTGAATTCTTTAATGGATATTAGTCTAACAGAGTTTTCTATATGCGCTAGGTGCTATAGGAAAATTTAAAAATACGATTATTCCGAAAACTTGGGGTCCAGAAAATAGACATATTAGAAGTGCGATAGCTTAGTCAAATCTTAACTGGAACTGGAACCGTTTTAGACTCTCTATTAAAATACTGTGTAGTATCTATAGGCAAAAAAAACTTATAAAAATCAAAGAGGAGACATCGTCAGAGATTCCCTCGTTGGTAAAATTAATCCAACGATACTATTATCTAATGAATAGATTATGTCATTTCGAAAAGTTTTTAACTATTATTTTTAAAGGCTTCTCCACTCGGCTATCGATTTAATAAAGGTCGATTATATAATACTGCTATTAATTATCTTGAAAAACAATCTCTAAATATAACATGTTTGGTATTGCATGATGTTGATTTAATACCTGAAGATGATGGAAATTTTTATACATGTGAAACAAAATATCCAAAACATACAACATCACGTGTTCGACAACTTAATAGTAAACGAGGTTATCAACGATATTATGAATTTTTAATTGGTGGCGTTCTTTTATTAACATTTGATATGTATAAAACATTTAATGGATTTTCAAATTTATATTGGGGTTGGGGTGGAGAAGATGATGATTTAGCATTAAGACTTATTCAACGGCGAATGTGTGTCGTTAGACCAACATATGAATTAGCTATTTACATTGGTATAGAAAAAATAAATATTTTTTAGGTCATATTTTTACATGTGTTCTTTTACAGGATTACCTCATCCACGTGGTCTACGAAATAATGCTCGTTTTTCTTTATTAACATGGACAACTCTTCGTCTTGATACTGATGGTTATGCACAAATTGAATCATTAACACGCATTATTAATATACGTCAAACATTAATTGCTACTCATTTGAAATTAGATGTAAATGCTGATCGAAGTCTTAATGTAGGAGCTTCCATGTCAAACATATCTTCTTCCTTAAACATAATCAATGGTAATGTGACTTCAACAATTAAAACTATTAGAAGGACTACAACAATAAAAGAATCGTAGTTTTAAGTCTAAGCAATGTTTCAAATACATCTAAATAAATCTCAAAAATTCTTTGTATAATAATCTATTTTCCTTTATTGCATTGTTCATCGCACATCTAAATATAATGTTTCTTTTATTATTCTATTACTTACTAATCTAAATTGACTATAACGTTCTTCTTTCTTATTTTTTTTATGAAATTATTTATATTATTTTCAATACTGTTATCTTCATACATCTTTCATGTATTCAATTTTCAAATAACTACAACTAATCTAAATAGGTAGTGAAACGATCGATATTTCTTCTTTCTTTTTAGATGAACCTTTGCGACTTAAACAATATAGACAAATCCGAATGTTACAATACAACGTATCATCGAAAATTCACAGTATCATCGGATATCTTTATTCTGTAAATAATATGATATCGTCAAAAGCTTGTTTTTTTAATCAGCCGTACAGACACTTTTTTTCTTTATCAATGATTATGAGTAGCGTGCTGTATGGATACAACATTTTGCAGCCGGTCTCGAATCGCTACACCCGGTAGTCGATCAGAGCTAATCGGCACTCGATAGATACTTTCGCAGTGATAGTACAGTTTTCAAACTTTTATTTTATATAAAGAGTATACTTTTTAGATTCTTTTATAAGCAGCTACAAAAAAAAAAGAGAAACCGTCTGAAATTTCGTAAAAAAGCTCGTGGATCAAGTTTCACTTGGTGTCTGTCTGCTTCTAAATTCGATCAATTTCGCTAAGTATACGTTTGCTGGTTGATGCTAACGTTGGAATGGAACGCAATACTGATGCCAAACGTTATAATTGTGGATCTATGAATAAATGCTTTTTTCATCGTGATAATACATGTTTACCTTTTGCGATAATTCATTTTCTTCTCCATGTATTTTGTTACTTTGTTATATACTTTCGTCATCATCTCTAGATGAATTTTAATTAAAAATGAATTATTTTAGTCAAAAAATACCGTTTTTCTACTTCTATTATCTCTTCACAAGTACAATAAATTTCTTTAATCATGATTGAACTGGTTTTCACTTTTAAACTTTTATATAAAGGAGCAGGTTGAAACAATAAAAGTATTTTAAGACGCAGAGATCTCATTAATTGGCAGATCGGACCTAGATATGAGGCTATACTTGAGATCGGAACCGACATTTCTTTTCATGCCCGACACTCAGATTCACGTTTCTGGGCAGGGTGGGTGTGCGTTCCTGGCCCGATTGCAAAACACTACTCATGATGATACTAATTTAATGGAAATTAGTTCAATAATATTTACAACTCGTTTGGTAACGAGAAAAATTTAGGGAATGAGTTCCTTGTTTCAATAGCAATTATGATTAAAATTCATTTGAAAAAAATATCTAGAAGATAAATTTTGCCAAATGAATCTAACATAGATGATTGACAGTATTATATGCAGCAGGCCAATTTGAGATACGTTTGTTAGGATTGTATCGGTAAATTGCAATTGATAAATGACTACTCGATTATATACCGCTATGCTTCAAGATATCATTTAACATTCCGTTCAAATTTCTTATACATAATTATCTCACAAGATCTGGTACATTAAAATCAACCCATAAGAGATCAAACAAAAACAAATCAATGCCTTCTCCTCTTATTTTTTTTTTCTTGTTCTCTACGGCTATATTAATTTTACAGGTCTTAGTTCTGTTCTCTGCTTTTAGTTATCGTACATCTATTTCGTTTGAAGTTACAATTTATGGAAATGGATATGCTGAACGTCTGCAAACGAGTAAGAGCAACATTGAAAGTATACATGGGACAAATAGTCGTATTGCACGATTGTTCAGACTATCACCGATTAATCGCCGGTATTTCTCTGACTTGAAACACATGTGCAGTGAAGTAAAATTAAAGGATTACCATTTGAATGGCAGAACCGTCATGGTTGATTGGAATTACTGCATGCAGACATGTGAAGAATGCGATTTCGAATAATGAAAAATGAATCGATTTAATAACCTCACTACTTAGATGTTAATAGTGATCCAAATACTATGTAATTAATGGAAGGATACGAAAAATCCATTGCGATAAACTTTATCGTACAAATAAAAATAAAAAGAATATTATATCAAATCATCATACAATTTGGCAATTGTTTTTGAATCAAAAACGAAATGAATAATTTATTTGTTATACAGAAAAATTAGTTAAATTTAGTCGAATTTATCACAACAATTACAAATTACGAATGTACTTAATCCTTATACCCAATCATTTATCGACGTACAACTTGCGACTACATTGAACATTCTTTCAAATGGATACAATCGGAATTGGTAAAACAAGTCTTTCAATTTCATTTAATATATTCATCAATCGTTTCATTTACTTACAATAGTTTAATTCCAATTGTATGCCTCTTTAAAATATTTTCTTCTTCTGCTTAAGTTTTGTTTTACTTTTTTAGCATGTAGCATTAAGTAAAGGTTTACTAGTTTACAGTCCATGATCAAATTGATTATGAATGAATGGAAATAGAATATCGTTTAAAACATCATTCAATTATAACAACTATTTTAATTCATCAAATTTATCATAGTACCAATAAATCTGTAACTACATTTCGACAAGCGATTGTGATTGATAATAATTATCTTGATCTAGAGTTATTTATTTACTCATGTTCAACTAGGTCAACACCAATACATGAAGCTTTTTATTGTGGATTAATTATTGGTGAATTACGCACAAATATAATTGAACAAGAATATCCTAAACAAATAATAAATATAAATGAAAAACATGATTTTGAAAATGAATTATTGTTTTCACTATTAACAACTATTGTTAATAACTTGAGTGAATTCATAATTACAATAAATATTATTGATGAATGTCAATTAACATCAGATTGATATATTCAACGTAAAAGAACAAGAATATGTTATTTATTAACACAAGTGATAGAACTTGGTCTAGTTGTACGTTAAGACAGTTTACAAATAGCTCAATTCGACAATTGAAAAGATGTACCATAAACAAGCCATGATTCTAATTTCCCTATCCTTCTTGATTCGCCGTTTCGTTTCGTATTTTTCTTTTCAAATCAGTCTCTAGAAGAGGAAATAGAAATTAAAACAAAGAGTATGTCATTTCTGATTATGAACTACAGATGTCCATCGCAGGTTGAAATCTTCCGTCCTCGTAATCGTGACTCTAGATGAGAAGGACAACTGTAATGTGATAGTTTTTAAAAAAAAGTGCTACTAACACCGTCGCTATGGACATCTTTGTTATGATCTGAAAAACAAACCAAAAATAAAACCGAATAGATTATCATTAGCAAGAATATTTCTAAGATATTTTTTGAAATTCTAGTCTCATTCTATTCTTTGTCAAATACAAAATTCTATAATCTTGTTTGTGATAGAATTAGATTTTGATATTTCTAGTATTTGACACTGGCAAACCGTACGATATGATCGAAATTGGAAATAGCTCACCTTGACGAAGATCTTATCCTACTAATATTCTAGCATACAAAAGAACTTATTATACTATGTTGATGAGTTATGATGAACAGTTATTAATTATATCAATTAAACATTATCATTCGATAGTTTGACTCAAAGTCATCGATAAACATAAAGATCCGTTTACAGACTTTCATGTATCAATAATATTAATTTTATAGAAGGCTATATTTTGTTTGTAATTCTGTCTTGCCTATTAGTAAGACCTTCACTATCTTTAAGAAAGTTGTAAAACTTCTCAATCGAGAAAAAGTTCAATTGAATATCCTTGATTCAGATACATCTAATTATTTGGCTTTAACCGCATTAGACATGTTTCACGTTAGAGAAACATATTTGTTTGTTTGATGAAAAAAACTTTTTAATATGTCTGAATAATGTCTCCACTGTAACGTCTTTTTGCATTCGTACGTCTTTTAAAATAGAAAGGCGCCTGGACGAGTTCAATGGAAATTTAACTTAGTTATTTTTCGAACAATAAACATAGCTGAAATCCATGGAGTGAACACAAGTAGATGCTATTAAAAACTATCTCAGTCATGGTTTAACATGATCACAATACTCAAGGTGTTTCGTAGAAAACTGCATCGATACAGGTTTGGTTTTCAGATGGGCGTCATTCTAGCTCATTTTCATAGTTATCATTAACTTAATTGACTTTTTCTTCAGTAAACACTTTACGTTTCTCTCAGCATGATCTGTTTTCGATCAATCGATTTTCACAAACTCGTTCAAATGTGGCTCTAATGCAGTGCCCTATTCAATTTTTTTCTTCAAAGTCGACTTGTAATTTTCTCTTTAAATATAGAATTGAGTCGGATTTCACCATGAATGGAACTATTTTTAATTATGACTTCCGACAGAAACAAATATTTTATTTATAATCTACCGATTGAACTTCTGATGAAGATAGAATGAAACCTCAAAAACAAGATGTAAAGTTTTTGAACAGTTGAAGGATTATTCATATTTCTTTGTTGATCAGACTTTTAGAACACCCTGTAGAATAGCATGAATGTCAATCAAACAGCAGTAATGATCCGAAAAAAGCAAAAATGAAGGAAAGATTAAATTGTCAAAGATGTCAGTATGACCTAAAAAAAGCATGAATTTGTTAAGGCACACCTCAAAGGTTTCATTGTATATTAAAATTTTTTCATTCAATAATTACTTCTATACGAATGTGATACTGTAGATGTTTGAAATATCTTATTCAAGCAAAGTATAGAGTATTATGAGATACGTTATCTTCCAGCAAAATATTATATGCCCATACACATATTTTGTGTTCAAAATAGACATCACAATAATATCTTAATTCATAGTCAAAACAAATTCTTTCTGGTTCATTGTACGATTCGTGATGTTCTATGCCAAACTAATGAAGTTCTTCTTATGCTATTCAAATGATTTATCAGTAACGACTAAAGCAGATGGTGACCAATAGAAGATGAGTTGAAATTATCCAAGGANCCATCGAATAGGACCTTCTTCAGTTGGTATGAGTAATAATAATAATGCTAGACGAAATAGAAAAGACGAAACAAGTTTAACTGTCATGTTAATTGCACAAGTTATTCTTTTAACTATATTTACACTACCACAAGCAGGACAAAAGTTTTATTTGACTTATACATTTTATCAAACAAAATCATCAACTCAACGAGCACTCGAAAGTCTTGTTTTTAACTTTGTTCTTCTTCTTACATATGGACCTAATTGTATACCATTTTATTTGTACACAATAACTGGTAGAGTATTCCGAGAAACGCTTTTCAAATTATTCAAAAATGAAAAAACAAAATTTGAACTACTTTCTTTGAAAAACAATTTTATGTACACATGAAATTCTAATAAAATAAATATCGTCTGTATTATATCTTTTTGCTATTATGTATGAAAAACAAAAGTTGTGGTCACCAACGGTTTATTAAACCTGAGGGTGTGAGTGTGGGTGTGATTGATCATGGAGTATAGGTGTGTGTATGAGCGTGTTTGTTCGTAGATGTGAAGAGAAAATAATTACCCACACTCTCTCAAAAGAATTAAATTGTTATACTGTCAAAGCGAGAAAATCATGAGTTAATATTTTCAAGATAGATAGCAAAATTTCATCAAGAAGATACAATAGAGTTATTAATCGAACTAAATCAAGCAGAAAGTTTCCAGTTAAAATGTTGCTTAAACCTTTTTTTCGGTCTTCACGTACATTCGTGTTAACGTAATGTACATATATATTTTAGATACTTGAAATTAGGTCCCAAGTAAAATACGGTTGATATGAAATTATTCTTTACTGAAATTTTAAACAGCAATCATTGTTCATTTCAACAAGAATATATTTCTCCAAGGTCCCTTTCTTGTACTGGTGAAAGAACAACAGAAGTTTTTGTTAAAAATAAGTTCGATAAAACGTACTATTGTACAGTACAACCTGCTACATCTGGTGATGATCGTTTATTAGAGAAGTTCTTGCTCATCATTCAAGAAAAAGAAACCGAATCTGATTAAAGAGTGCAAAACGGTATTATTGTATCATCAAACGTTGAAACGCACGCTTCAAACCCTGGGAAAAACCGCAACGAAAAACAACGCACATTTTTAAATGAAGTTCTATGTGCTTTGATCGGTAGAAAGTTTCTTCTTTTTCTTGACGCTTGGAAAAGCCAAACTGATTAAAAACAAAAATTAGATCAGTATTCCGTAATCAAGACAGTTAATTATTGACTTTTCCCTAAGTTTTAATTTGACATATTCAACTACAAGATCTTTCTTTGTTTCATTCATGACAATTTATTCATGAGGAAATCAAGCATTACGCTCATATCAGTCGAGCCAGAGCTGAGCAAGTCAAGACAAGTCTTACTTGACTTGCTGAAAAAAATTTTGAGCCGTGACTTGAAAAATCTCTGACTTGCGCAGCTCTGTTTCTAATGGGCATTATTTTTTACCGTGAAATAGAATGCTGAGACTATATAAATTGATCTTCACCCAATAAATGCTAGCAAATGTTATGTTCTGCCTAAGTTTTAATCGGACTTGGCTTAACTTGAAGGAAAAAATTTTGAGATGTGACTTGCTTGACTTGTGACTTGATAAACCTCTGACCTGTCCAGTTCTGAGTCGAACAGAAACAACTATGAGCGCTTATCAATACTTCATTAGTATTCATTCTGTTATTATCAATCAAATTATCAGTCCCACAGTTGAAAAATCTCATTAATAATGGATTTATAGAAGTTTGAATAACAAGTAGAGCTTTGTTTTGATCCGAATACGAATGCGTCTGGTCTTTTTAATTTACAACACAAACGTCTTCATTGTTAGAAGAAAATCTAACGACAATTTATAATACTCTTGATGCATTATTTTGATATTTTCAGATGTTTTTGGATACATTCATGCTCAATTTATTAAAAACAACTGATAGTTTAATCGATGAAGTCCAAAACGATAAAACACATCATTTTTCAGTAATGAATACTTGTCAAAAAGAAAGAACAATGATTTCAAAATCTGTCTTACTCTGGCTATAGTGCAAATTTTGTTTTTGTACTCTATTAAAATGTCTTAGACAATTGCTCACTGAAATAGTTGCTGGCGAAAGATGTGGGCGTTGATCTTGTCTTCACTCACATCCACGCTCTAATAGTCCATGGCATGGATATTTTCTAGAATATACACTGCTCCGATCAATTATATATGCATATCCGTTGTATATTAATAAAGACGCTTCTTTAGTTGTCTTTTATATAGTAACTAACATAACGAAGTATTGTCGATTTTTTTTCTTAGCAGTAGCACCTAGAACCGATTGAAGAGAAGATTTGATTAACTGAAATAATTTACTATCAAGAAGAATACTTGTGTAATTACCATGAACGTTTTGAGCGAAAAATCTCTAGAAAACTAAGATTCTTAACACTAGTTTTCTGAATTCTATCAAAAACATTTTGAAGTTCCGAGCTTTCCACGAATTATCTTCAGCGAACTATAATTATAGTACCATAGACCTAAAAAATCTGTTTTTTGTTGTTGGTATGAAAACTTATGCGCATTTGCTGTGTTAAACACTTTGATGCCTTTCATCGAATGAGTGTAGTTCGCTGAAGATAGTTTGTGACGAGCTCGAGGACATCAAAATGTTTCCTCTATTAGACGAACATTCATGCAAAAGGCTTTTTATAGAATATGGGAAACTGGTTTGTGAAGTCTCGGTTTTCCAGAGATCTTTCATTTAGACCTGTTAATGGAAATTTGACAAGTAGATCTCTCGATAGAAAATCGTTTTAGCTAATCAAATCTTTTCTCTCATTGGTTCTATTAATTATCGTTAATAAAAAAGATGATAACACTTTGTTTCTAAACGTTTGCCTTCCACTTTAATTACTTTTCATAAGATCATTCTGCTAATCTGTGTGGCTTATATATATGTTTCGTTGAATGCAACTTGGCATTTTATAATATAACACTTAAATCCATTACTTCATGATGAAAATCATTCTCTTGTTAGAAATTAATTTATTGCGTTCAAAATGATTTTAAAAGTCCGCATAGGGAATAATTGTCTGTTTTTCCTATTAAAAATATTTTTTTTTGTTGATAAACTATGGACTTTTTTTCATAAATCATGGTAAATTCATCATTTAGTGAAAAGTTTCGTAAACTGTATTTGTTATACGATCATGCTCATAAATTTTATTATTTATTTAATATTCTCATATTTCATTTGAATGAAGAACAGAAGAGGTTGTTACTCAGAGGAACGGCAAAGGCAATGGCAACAGTTGTTGAGATATTTTAAACTTTACTGGAAGAAAGGAAAAGAAGAACTCAAATAATGGAGTTTCCATTTGATATTAATGCTGTATTACCTCATGAAATAACTATGATTAATGGAGATTATCGGATACTTAATCACGGACAAACAGCTAGAATATTGTTCGTATTGTTATTTTTGTTGTCCTCGATTGTGTTAGTTATTGTATTTTTGTAGAGCTTCGGAGAAACTGACATCTATTATTGATGTCATGGGCGAAGCTTCATATAAAGTAGATTTCTTTTTAAGAAAAAAATCTTACAATTAGTTTCAATTTTTTTAATTTTTATTCAGGCACAGGGATTACCTGGTCCAGTTACTACTGCACGTAAATTTCGTATAACTGATCATCGTTTATATCTTGTTAAGAATTCAACTGATAATAAGTATGAAAATTTCTATTCGAAGATATTTAATTTATTGTTATTTTTTAGTAACTTAGGTTCTGTTGTTGGTTTATTAAAAGTCGGTACAAAGCATTTATTTGTTTATGATTCACACGGTCAAGTACATGAACGAACTCCATTATGTTTATTAGATTTTTTTGTTCATGAAAGTAAACAACGATCAGGATATGGAAAAAAATTGTTTGAAGCTATGCTTGAAGTAAATTTCTTGAATTATAGTTTATTATACCATGTTGTTTTGTTTTTTAGTTTGAAAAGTGTAATGCATATGAATTAGCTATTGATCGTCCATCAAATAAATGTCTTGGCTTTCTTCAAAAACATTATAATCTATCAGCACCAATTCGTCAAGTTAATAATTTTGTTGTTTTCAGTGCATTTTTTAATCGATCACCTAGTAAGAAAAATAATAAAGAAAAACAAAATTTTCTTTCAAATTTTCTTTTTTCAGTTTCTCAAAATCGAAAATTATCAGCATCAAAGCAACGCCATGAGACAAGTTTACCAAATGATCTTTTTCAACGTCAAGAATCAACTAATTGGTTATTATCATCGGAAAAGCAACAGCAACAATATCGTCGACCATTCACAGAACAAAGTGAAAGTAATCGTAATAATAGATTACGAACATTATCTGATGAAAATGAATTATTTAATAATCGACGACAAGTTACAAATATTGGGTAAGATTTTTTATTTGATATTAAAAAAAGAAACAATTTTTTTTTATTGAAACAGAAATTCATCGGTTAATAATGAACGAAAACCTTTCTCAGCTTTTACAACATCATATGGTCATCATTATAATCAAAATTCTTTATTAAGTGAAACAACTAAAACTAGTATGTAAAAACATGTATTTTACATTTGTTTATACTTTTGATTTAAGATGAAATCCGTCATTCAGCACCATACATTCATCGAACACAATCCGAATTATTCAATGAAAACAAGTAAACTTGCTATTATTTATTTATATCAATCAATTCTTTTCTTCTAGTCCTTTTCCAAGTCTTCAACGTTATAATACAAATCCGGTAATATCTACGCATAAACAATCAATATCAAATCCACAACAAAATTATACATATAAAGATTATCAATCATCGTCATCATCATCAATAAATAAACCACCACAAACTGAACCACTTACTTCAATCTATACGTTTCCATCATTAATTAAAACCAATAATAATTGGCGTAGACCACATCAACAACAACAACCTACTATTGATTCATCATCATCAGCATGGAGACTTTTTGGTGTACATCGTTGACTTAACTAATTTGTTTTATTTTCCTTTTTGTGTAATTTTGTACATCTAAATTACAACTTTATTTCAAATACTGATCGTGACAGAACTATGAAAGGAATACACAAACGATAATATTATAATTGTATTGATTTTGTTTTGTTTTCCGACCGAATGCGCAATATCTGATGAATAGAACAAACCTTGTTGAATTAAATTTTTTTTTTGAAACAGTGCTATCACCATGGAACGTGCAAAATACAGAAGATGAATCACGAGGAAACAACCCATCATTTGAGATTGTATTGAGCCTATGATTTTGCCATGGATCTTCGGAGCCGAGTTATAATTGTTTTACTGAGTTTTCAACGAAACTTTAGGTATATACTGAAAAATAGAAGTTTAAACTGTTAACGTGAAATTTTCCTCATAGACAGGTCGAATGAAACTAATGAGGGAACTTCTTCAACTAGTTTCTTTTGATCTCAATGACTTTGTGCCTATAGATACTATCTAGTTTTCTAATAAAAATCCTAAAAGAATTTGGATTTCTATTGATATTTGACTAAGCTATTGACTTTTTTTCTAGAGGTCCCATGTTTTTGGAAAACTCGTATTGACAAATTTCGATTTGAAACTTTGCTCACATAGAGAATTCAACCAGACTAGTTCCCGTAAATAAAACTTACAAGTTATGAACCAAACCTCTTTGAGACATGAAGCTTTCAAAAAAAAAAACTGCATGTTGTATATTTTATCCACTGAAAAGGGTCTAACTCTTGAAAGTCTCATATATCGAAATAACTTAGTTCAAAACTTCTGAATTTATTTTATGTAAGTTGGTCTAGTTGAGTTGTCTATATGTACAAAGTTTCAGAAGAAAATTCGCTAGTACGAGGTTTTCGTCAATCTAGGACTTCTAGAAAAAAAATCGATAACTTAGTCAAATCTCAATAGGAACCTAAATTCCTTAAAAGCTTTTATTGAAAAAATGTCTCGTATCAATAGCCAAAATATCATTGAAATCAGACTGAAGCAGCCGAAGAAGTTCCCTTGTAAGTTCTTACAATTTAGTACCAGTTTATATACATATTTTTGCATCGATTAAGTAATCCATTCAATCAAGTTTAAAATTGCAATTCAACTGCTATACTGATTATTTTAGATGCTTTAATAGTTCAATATCAATTCTTGTTTTAATTTGTCAGTGTGAAGAATAATAAATTGCGTGGTAATCAACTTTAGACACTTACAACATGATGAGATTATTTCGAGTATCAGATATCTATCATAGTAAAAAATAATTGTTTTGAATGAATGGGCAGTGTTCATATACACATGCAATCTAAACGTTAAAATGAAGGTCAAACAATTACAATTGTAAACGACCGTAAATCGTCGTGTTTTAGCATATACGGTGAACTACGAAATCTATACAGATTTCGTACACTGCATAATGAAAACGTCCTTGAAATTCGGCTTTTTTTTGTTTTATTTACAATAACTTTGCATTATTCGTGGTTTTATTTAAATCTCTAGTGACATCTTTTCTGTCAAATGTTGTTTTTCTATTTAAAATACCTGCAAACGAATGAAAGCCAGTTCTGTTTTCTTTTAGTCATTCACTTCCTAATACATCGTTATCCTCTTCATTAATACTTCACAATGGGGTTTTTATAAAATGATACCAAACTGATTTCCCAATAATGTCCAAATCATCTTCAAAATCATCTTCTGCAAAATCAATCGTAAAGACAGTTGATCGTAAGTAAAAATAAATACTTGTCATATGAATCATGTCTAGAATTTAAACTTTTCTTTAGTTAATTCAAGAACTACCTCATCGTCAACTTCAAATCTGTATAAAGACATTTTGGAGCTTGTTCTATTATGTACACTTACTGAAGAACCATCCACTTCTTCATTATCGAAGATATATTTAACTGAATTGGCATCATTAGATATTAAAAATTGGGATAAAAATCGAATTGATCAAGCATTATTTGAACGTCTTCGTATATGTGATCCTTCAAGTCAATTGATAACATCATCTACGAAAAGATCATCTATAGCACATGAGATCATTAGTGAAAATCGTTGTTTACATTATTTATCTGGATGTTATCAAAGATTGTTGCGACAGCGAGTAAAATTTTGATCTATCTATTGATTAAAATTGGGAGAGAAAAATATTTCCATTTAGGATCATTTTCAATTAATATTAGATGATATTCAAAAATTATTTATTGATCATAGTAAGACAGCAATAACATTACCAAGTATGTATGACGATCAAGATTTATCTAAACAATGGATAGAATTATTAATTGAATCCAATGGTAAAAAAAATTTACATATTTTTTTTATGAAGAAAAATTTACGTATTTATTTAGATAATGCATTATTATGTGAATATATTGATTTTGTTAATAATGAACTTCTGTCATCGATGACCACTGAAATTGAAAGTCTTTATAAAAAAGTTTTCCATTATATGTATAAAGCTATTCAACCATTAGACTATTTTTCTAATGATGTAATTTCTTACATTTCGGTATTAACTCATTTATCACAATGGGCAATACTTGTTCAAGTACATGAAAAAATAGTTTTATTTTAACCTAAAAAATCTTGTCACATTTGGTGACTTATGTTGAACCAGGATACCATATATGTGGTTTTGTAGAGCAATCATCATATAGGACAATAGGCTATTCTAGAGGACAATCATGCAAATTGATAATGAGTATCTATTATGTAGAGAGTTGTCATGCATGAAACATATAGAACTCGATAGTCTGCAATTTATGAGAAAGTTTCATGTTGGTACATATTTGTTCTGTGACACAGAGTTGAACACACTGAAGTACTGTATGAAAAAGAAATAATCTAGGCTTAAGAAAAGGAATCATTTTTAAGTATGAAGAAAGCAACAATGAAAACTGCCGATTATAGAAATTTGAAGAGTACCTAAAGCTGCATCGAATTGAGTTTAAAAACAAAAGTTGCATAACATTATCTTAGTAAATCTTAGAGAATGAAGAAAAAACTTCTTTTTGAACTACCTCATGGTATGGGGGCTGCTTAGCGATCAATTCAATAGCCCGATATCTTCCCTACAACTATAACTGACTGTAGCTCTGGTCAGAAGATTAGCCTGATTCAGTGTTTTTTGCGCTCAATTGCTTGAGCTCTCTGTACTTACTAACTAACCATACGAACGGGCTTATGCCACCACGTATTCAGCATGCTGTCGGACGAGTGATCCGAGGCAAATAGCGGTAAGTACCTTACCTAGGGTCATTCAGTTGCTAGTGGTATTGAGATTTGCACACATTATCTGCGGATACATTTCGAAGGACGAAGCCACTAAGTCATGACTACTTGAACATCTTTGAGATCACAATATATGTACCACTCGATATGCTGTAAGTCACTCTACAAAACCACAAAATATACGTTATCTTAGTTTAAGATAGGTCATCAAATCCAGCAAAGTTCTTTAAATTTTTTTCTTTGTTTAGATGATCTTTCGATTGTCTCATCCAAAGACATTGTCTAACCGTTCGTCAAGAGATGCTCATATATCATCAACAAGTGGTAGAGCATTTCAAGATACATTGATTGGTAGTCTTCTATCAAAATCATGTTTACCTTCCATACCTGGAAAACCTTTTTTATTTTTTAATAAACCTAAATTAATGAGTGAACGTGATATCGAAATAACTGCTACAACAATGTGGCAAGTAAATATCACGTCTAAAGATAGTTTTTATTTATTGAAAAATATTTCTGTAATCTATTAAGCCAATGAAAACATATCAAGATCATTTATCACAATTATTTAAAGTTTTTGTTAAAAGTTCTGATGCACGACATAATGTTTTAAAATGGATTGGTGATTGTTTTGATGAAAATCAAGGTAACGAAATTTCTTAGAATAATTTATATAAAATTGATTTTTCTTTTTCTCTAGGAAAAAATAAAGAATGGTCATCTCATGATCCGTTAGCTGCATTTTTATTTGTTAGTGATGGTTTTTTACTTAATTTAAATGTTGTTTTACTTAATCTTGCAAAACCATTTGCTGAACCTTATTCATCAAGATTATTAAAAATAAATCCTCTTTATGCTATTAGTCGAAATGAAAATGTTCATTTAAAAGGTAATTATTCATTATCTGAAAAATGAAAACTTTTAATTAAATCTCTTTTTTTTTTGTAGAGTTATACAAAGAAACACCATTGATTAATCGTACAGACGAAATTGAAGATGAAAAAAATCGACAAATAACATTTAATTTTATTACTGAGATCTTTTTTATGTCACATTTTAGTTATTCAATTTCAGTACATAGACTTCACCGAATATTAGTAAAAGTTAGTTTTTGACAAAAAAAATAAATCAATAATAATTTTAACAATAATATTTATTTAGATTGGTGAAGAGCTAACACGTATACGAGAAGCTCATAATAATGCTGTAAAATTAGATGGACCTAATCATGAAAATTCTGTACAATTAGGAGAAACAATGGAAAACGGTAAAATATGAAGATATTCATTTAATTTTAGGAAATATCGATTGTAGCTATATGACGATTATTTTTTAAGTTTCTGGAACTCAAATAGCTTTTAAATCAACGTGTAACTTTAAATTCGGATTCTTTTTTCACTTCTCTCATCATCCTGTCCTACAGACATTCGTCCTTAATAGCATTTCGTTAGCTGTTTCGTATAATTTGAGTAGAGTACGACCAATAGCAACAACACTTTGAAAGAAAATCATAGGAGCTAGTCTGTTGACGATCTCAAATAGATATAAGCACGATGATCCTGGTTTCACTGAGATCAAAAATGATTGGTCTCACGCATGTTTACTCTTAAATTGGGATGTAACGGCTTCTAGACATGCACGTATAGAACACTGATGAAGACGGTTAAAACTATGATAATCTTAGATTTATTTCGACTTTTTCAGTCGAGAAAGGTCTAATTTAAGAAAAAAGCTGAATTTTATGAAGCATGACTAATCTGTAAGAAATATGCCTTTCTCGAGCGAGAAGACCGAACTCAAGAATTTCGAGAAACCTTCTGTAGATTTGGAATCTGAAACAGAAGAAACCTTTAGTCTATTTTTATAAAATTCACCTAGTTTCTATAATTGGCCTCTCTCAACCGAAGAAATCGAAATCAAGCCAAGATCAACATCGTTTTATTATGTGCTCGCTGTTAGTCTATGCATACATGTTTAGACCAATGCAAAGCTATATGTAAGACCAATAGATGGTGCACTGTGATCGTTGCACCTCTACTCTCAAATGATCTACCATCAAAAATAATGAGTTTTGGATTTTATCTTTCAGCTTGCAGAAGATTTAATTCGATTGATTGTGCATTGAATTAGAATATTTTGTTATCTTAGTTTCACTTTGTTCGTCTGGTAAACAACTTGAATAACATGAGGCGGTGTGCGTTTGCATACCACCAGTATAGTTAGTTACTTTGTAAAAAATCACACTAACGTAGTCAATAGAATTTTCGTGATCGCGACCACCAATATTGATCACGACGATTTCTAGTAAAGGTCTATGAAATTTTTATTTATGTTAAATTCAAAAGACAAAGAAGTCAATTGACGAAATTATCCCACTAAGTCAAAAAAAAACTGAAGTATTAAATTTTTGAATGAAAATTTATTTCAAAATATTGAATTCTAAAGCGCTGCTTCTAAAAACCAATATCTAAGTAAACTAAAGTCTTACAATTGATCAATAACATTGTATTATTATTGTTGTGATATTTTCATCTATAGGCCTTACTGCATTTTTGAATATAAAAACTATGCTAAATGAACCTTATTTATTGGAATTATTGAATGCCTTATTTACATCCACATGTTCATGGCTTGTTCATATTGCATCATCTTCTTTTGATTATAATCAGAAATCAGACGGAGAAGAACAAATGAATATTCTTAAGAAATTACCATTAACATCTGAACCTAATCGACAATTAAGTTATATTCCAGAATTTATTATGGAAAATATAATTGATTATCTAAAGTTTCTTGGGCGATATAATACACAAGTATTTCAAGTAAGATTTCTAAGAATACTAAAAAAGAAACTACAAACTTTTGATTTTTTCTTTGTTTTCTCAAGTCAATAGGATCATCGATAAATGAATATGTTAATCTCATACTTGTATTTATGGGTGATATGAATCGTTTACGTAATCCTCATTTACGTGCAACATTAGCTGAAGCACTCGAAATTATTTTACCAAATGAACACGAAAAAACTAATCGAATAATAAATAAGTTAGTTCATGTTTTTGATTATTAAAGAATTTATTCATATTTTGTTTTTTTCTTATTAGTTTATATACTGAAACAATGTTTCAAGAATATCCATTAATTGAACATTTACCATGTGCACTTCTTGATGTATTTGTATCAATTGAATTAACTGGACAAGCAGTTGCATTTGAACAAAAATTTAGTTATCGTCGTCCAATGTATGATATACTTGAATATCTTTGGAAATTTGATAAACATCGAGAACCAATTAAAGTTATACAAATTAATTCTTTTTAAGTTAAATAAATATTGTTTTTTTTCGTAGAAACTTGCTTCATATGCTGAGCGACATATTGATGATGCTGAAGCTCCATTATTCTTACGTTTTATTAATTTACTTATGAACGATGCAAATTTTTTATTAGATGAAGCATTAACAGTACATATTAAAACAAAATTAAGAAAATATATTCTTTTCTCATATTTTTTTGTTTAGTATATGGCAAGATTGAGAGCTGATCAAGAAGCAAAAGAACATGGCGAATGGAATGAAAAGCCAGAAAAACAACGACAAGAACTTGAAAATGCATTTCAACATACCGGTCGAATAGCACGTTATATGAATATAATGGGCATTAAGACGGTTAATATCTAGAAAGAAAAAGCTTATTGTCGAGTATCAATCTCAAAATAGACGCATACATATACAGTAGAGTGCAAAAATAATTGCCGTTAGTATTTGATAAAGTTACTCTACTGAACATGATGAATATTGAAAGTTCTTTTATAAATAGATTATACATACACAAAAGTACACAAATACAATAATCAATAGTTAGCTCTTTTTCCCTTCAGCCAAAAAATCAGTAAACACTATAGCTTCATCGATACACTCAAATAAATTAGGATCGTTTTTCCTATGTACATGGATTGNGAAAATATTAAACAAATGCTTGATAGTAATAAAGATAATTTAAAATTAGATGCTATGCGTCGAATTATCGGTGTAAGATAATTTAAAAAAGTATTGATTTAAAAAAAAAAGTTGTTTATTTAGTTAATTGCAAAAGAAAGAGATGCTGCTGATCTATTTTCAGCTGTTGTTAAAAATGTTGTTTCAAAAAATATGGAAACAAAAGAATCAGTTTATGTTTATTTAATGCGTTATGATGAAGAACAACAAGATTTAGCATTACTTTCTATTGCAACATTTCAACGAGGGTTAAAAGTAAATATTTAAAATAAGAAAATTCTTCAATTATTTTTATATTAGGATCCAAATCAATTAATTCGCGCAAGTACATTACGAGTCTTATCAAGCATTCGTGTACCAACAACAGCAACAATAATGATGTTAGCTATTCAAGATACTGCTAATGATATGTCACCATGCATTCGAAGAACTGCTGCAAATGCTATAATCAAACTTTATGCGTAGGATTTCTTTTGTTTCTTCTTAAATACATTATCAATTCATATAATTCTATTTAGTTTGGATCCAAAAATAAAAGAAGACTTAATTTTAATTATAAAAAAATTACTTGCTGATAAAACAATTGTAAGTAAAGAAAAAAAAGTGACCGAAACGGAATTGATATCACCGACCAGCTGGTCGACCAGGTCATCAAAAATCCAAATAGGTTTTATCTCTGAAAGAATATTTTTTGATTTAGTAAGTTAATGGTAGTGCTGTCCAGGCATTTGAACATGTATGTCCGAAATGAATTAATTTAATACATAAAAATTATCGACGTTTATGTAATTTTCTTATTGATATTGATAAATGGGGACAAGTAACTGTATTAAATATGTTAACACGATATGCATGATTACAATTTGTTGATTCCAATAAAGTATTAAAAAATATTCAAATAAAATTTTGTGAAATAAATATTTTATTTATTTCATAGACATACGAAGATGAAAAACAAAGTTTTCATGATGATGATACAAATGAAACAGCAAAAAGTCCGAATAATGATGATGATTCATTAAATAAACGAACATATATTATGGATAGTGATCATCAATTATTATTAAGATGTGCAAAACCTTTATTATAAAATCGAAATTCGACTGTATGTATTATTTTATAAAAAAAACAAACGAATATATTTTTATTATAAAAAGTTTGTTATGGCTGTAGCACATCTTTATTATTATTATGTTGCACCAAAAAGTGAAATACATATTGTTGCTAAATGATTAATTCGTTTACTTCGTCATCATCGGTAATTATTTGTTTTTTTTCCTCAAAAATCTCAAAAAAAAATGATTTCTAGTAAAATTCAAACAATTGTTTTAAAATCAATTGCATCAATGGCTGATAAACATAAACGAATATTTGGACCATATTTAAAATCCTTTTATGTTCATTCAAATAATAGTAGTCATATTAAACGTTATAAATTTGAAATACTAAACAATATTAGCTAACGCATCAAATATTTCAACTATTCTTAGTGAATTTCAAGTAACAAAAAAATTCATTTTATTCAAAGAAAAATCTTTTTTTATTCTTGTTTGGATTTGTGTTTTAAGTCTAGATAACGAATTTGCTGCTCAAACAATTCATGCTGTTGGTCGATATGCAAATAGAATTTCAGAAGTAACTGAAGCTTGTTTAAATGGACTTGTTTCGTTAATGTCGAAAAAAAGCTGAAACAATTGTTGCAGAAAACGTTGTTGTTATTAAAAAATAACTTCAAATCAATGTAAAAAGAAAAACAAAACTATCTTTTGTTTTATTAATTAATCTAATCATTTTCTTTATAATTATACATCATAATATGCTAGTATTCTTAAACCTACTGTTCGTATGGTTGATAAAATAACTATTCCAACAGCACATGCTTCTATTCTTTGGCTTATTGGAGAATATTCAGATCCCATTAGTAAATTAGCACCAGATGATTTAAGAAAAATGACTAAAATATTTCCTGTTGAAGCTTGTTTAGAAATTTTTTTTTGTTTAAGAAATTTATTTATTTAGAAAATAATTGTTAAATATCAACTTCTTAATTTAGCTGCTAAACTTTATCTTATGAATCCTAAACAAATACAATCACTTGTGTTTTATGTATTGAGTTTAGCTAAATATGATACTAATTATGATACACGTGATAAAGCACGACTTCTTCGGTAAATATAAAAATTTAATTGATTAAATATTCAATTGTTCTTTTTTTTTTAAATAGAACATTATTATTTCAATCAGAAAAATGTCCATCATTAAGTAGAAATGCGAAAAAGATTTTATTAGCACCTAAACCTGCAACAATACTCGAATCGATTCTTCGAGGTAAATTGATTAATTTCGAAATTTTTATTTTCTTTTTATTTTCCTCTTGTTTATTAGGTCATGAACAGTATACAATAGGTACATTATCATATGTTGTTGGTCAAAAAGCAGCAGGTTATCAAGATTTACCGGATTTTCCACTTGAACCATCAGATCGAACTGTTCGAAATGTTGAAATTATCCGTCCACCAACATCACTACATGAACAATTAAGAAAATTTTGTACAAATGCTGGAATAGAAGCAGGAGGAAAAAAGACAAATCGTACAGATGAAGAAGAAGAATCCGAAGAATCAAGTGACAAAGAGGAAAAAGAAGTAATAATGCTTTGCTTTCTTATAAGATCTAAATTTTCATTTTTAGCCAGCGTCAAAACAAGTTTCAACAGTTGGTAAATCTTCTTCAACAATCGGTGTTAATAATTATCCCATTCCTTCCACATAAAAATCACTTTTAGAAAGGATTGTAAGTCTCTTACTTCCTCATCTCAAACCGATATTTTCTATTTTTTAATTCAGTGGAATCATTCCTTGGTGCAACTTCAACATCAACACTAACTCTTCAACAAACAAACAAAATAAATATATTAGATGATTTAAATAGTTTACAATCATCAGCTGTTAATTATTATCAACAATATGATCGTTTAAATCGTATAAAAGGTCAAGGTTTACAAATTCAGTATCGTTTTCCACGTACACCATTGTGACGTGCACCAAATATGGTTCATGTTGAATTAATTTTTACAAATATAACAATAAATCGAAATATTTATTCAATTATATCCTTAATATCCGTATGTTTTCATAGCTTTTGTAGAAAAACAAAATATTTGTTTTTTTTTTCTTAAATAGAAATCCGATGTGAATATCGAAGGATTTAACGAAATCGATATATTACCAAGCGGTGCAACAATAATATCATCAATTTATATTGATTTTAATGATAAAACTCAACCAGCTTTATTTGACATATCATTTGATGGTAAACAATTGTCAATATTATGTCATGTTGGTGAATTAATTGAACAAGAATTTAATCAAAATTTAGGTAGAAGAAAAACCAGCTAATTTCTAATTAATGGAAATATTTTTGTTTAGCTCGTCTTCGTGGTATAAACGAAATAATTGATAGCGTTAAATTAAGTGAAATACCAAAACAAAAAAAACAAATTAAATTTTACAACAATTTAAACTAAAATTCTTCAATGCGCTAATATTTTATCTGTACCATCAAATTTGGGTGATTCAACAATATATCGGTAAGTAACTAACAAAGCAATTGTTCGAAATGATTCATCGCTTTTGAGTTCATATTTTGCCCATAAGTAGAGCACCTGTCGACTAGAAGAGACCAAAAAGAATATCAGCCCATATGGAGATTTAGCTGAGATATAGAGATTTTACGGGAATTTTCTTGTAGAACCTTGACTTTCGAATTTTCACCTGAAACTGTACCTATATGAAGATCTTCACTAGACTAATTTGTGTGAAAAATTTCAGAATTTTTCGACATAGTATTACCGAGAGATGAATATTTCAAAACATAGACGCTTCCCCATAAATATTGTACAAAACAAGAGTATCTTGTCAAGCCATATCTCGACGGTACTATGTCAAAAACTTTTGAAATTTTTCATAGAAACTAGTCTAGTGAAGATCTTCATATAAGTACAGCTTCAGATCAAAATTCGGAAAGCAAGGTTCTACAGAAAAATTTCCGTAAAACTTCCATATCTCAGCTGAATCACAACATGAGCCAATGTCCTTTTCGGCTTGTTCTAGTCTAAAGGTGCCCTACTTACGGGCAATGCGATGAATCACTTTGAAAGATTCTCTCATAAATCAACTAGAATTTATTTATTTTTTTCATACAGTTTTTCTGGTCAAACAATATCCAGTGAATCATTAATACTTCTAACAATTCAATTAAATATTCTTCAATCAATACTAAATTTAACTATAAATTCTGATCGAATTATTCTTGCTACAATGTTATTAAATGATATTAAACAGACATTATCAATAGTGTAAGAAATGATTGTCTTTTTTGTTTTGTTTTCTGTGTTGTTATAGTAATTATTTTCAATTTAATTATTAATGATTTTTTATTTTTTGACAAGTATGCAATAATTTAAATGTTTTTTTTTATTTTAGATCTTTTTTTATTTTTGAATATGACTAATAAATTAAAAGATTTCAAAATAAAAATTGGTGTTGCTAAACGGTGACTATATGAAATTTAATTATAAAAACGAATATTGTGTTTTTTAAAACGTGGAAAGAATATTTATCATATAAAAAAGTATGTAAAAATGAAAAACGTAAAGTTGAAAAAAGGCAAATGAAGGTCGAGATGAATATGATCTGAAAAAAACAGATATTTATTAGTTTGTTTTTTCTTTTGATTATATTTAATTGATTTTGTTTTTAACAAGAAGTATTAAAAGAAACGGAATCAATGATTTCACATACAAAAAGCAGTTTTATTAAATCGTGGAACGAATTTCAAGATGTATATGAAAAATAATTTATTTTTAGTTAAAATTTTTTTGCCTCTTCTTTTTTTCTAGAATACAGCAAATAATAATGCTACATTAAAACAACCAAAAGAATATGATAAAGCACAAAACAGTTATGATGAACTTAATAAAGCTCATTAAGGAGATCGTCTTGTACAAGCATAAATTGCTCCATTTTATTAAAACACAGTTTTAACTGTGATATTTCTTTTATATATTTCACATCTCACTAAATGAGTTTAATAATAACACACACTCACTTTTAGCCAATCAATAAAACTTTTCTATCATGAATATTTTCTTTGCCCAAATAATCATTTTAGATTTTTATTTCTATAATCGTTTTCATCTGTTTGCAAAATGGAACAAGCATTAAATGATTTATCAACTATCTCAAACGACCAATCGTAAGTTTGCAAAAGATTGCTCATAAATGTCACGAATACTTCTGCTTGCTTTTGCCCTTTTTCAAAAATAATCGCGTAGGCATTCTTTTTTCCATGCATTTTGCTCATATGCACGAAATTTAAAAAATTCACTACGTTAAAAAAAATATGCATGAACTTTTGAATATTTTTCTCCCATAGCCTTTAGGCGTATCGATAAGACGTTTTCTATCTATTTCCTCTATGGCATCAAACAGTCTAAAACAATCAAAATGGAATTAACTAATAAAATTGGTACAAAAGTTAAACAGAGTTAATCCATCTTTTTGAAATGTTTTAACTCTGATTGAACTTTATCGTCCCAATGACACAATAGCTTGATTAAACAATGGAATAAATAAATATGAATAGATAGATGAATGAAAATGATGTCGCTCGAGAGAACTATTTATATTAAAAACAGCACACTAAATTTTTTTAGTCTTCTCTAGGTTATCAGCTTCAAAAGCAGTTCTAGACAAGCATAAAATAATAAAGTTGTTTAATGTTCGGAAATAAAAATGTATTTATTGATTTTCACTACATTATATAAGATATTCTGAATTTGAATTAGGAGATTAGCTGTTATATATGCCAGATTATTGAATTAAAACAAAGTAAAATTTAATTCATTTCTCTACTGTGTTTGAGGTCTTACCAAATCAATAGCCATTTTTTTTGTAAGAGAAAAAAACAATGTAATGGATATGTGAATAGCTGTACATCCTAAACCTTTTATATATTTCTATTCTCTTTCACAAGCCAATAAATTTCTCTCTCTCTCTCTCTATGCTAATTGGTGAAATAGGTGAAAGAGAGAGCGTGAAAAAAAGAGAAACAAAAAAAAACGTCTTCGCGGACGAACGTTGTTCAAGATGCACTTGTGTTCTATGTCTGAAACACACTAAAGATGTGAATAAAATTTGATTTTTTTATATCAGTTTGTTATGTGTCGTAAGATTGATTCACATATAGAAAAAAAAAGAAAAGATACAATAACTCAAAACTAAAACATGTAGTAATTATTGTATCTCTTTTTTTTTCTATATGAGAATCAATCTTACGGCGCATAACAAACTGATATAAAAAAATCAAATTTTATTCACGTCTCTAGTGTGTTTCAGACATAGAACACAAGTGCATCTTGAACAACGATCGTCCGCGAAGACGTTTTTTTTTGTTTCTCTTTTTTTCACGCTCTCTCTTTCACCTATTTCACCAATTAACATAGAGAGAGAGAAATTTATTGGTTTGTGAAAGAGAATAGAAATATATAAAAGGTTTAGGATGTACAGCTATTCACACATTCATTACATTGTTTTTTTTCTCTTACAAAAAAATGGCTATTGATTTGGTAAGACCTCAAACACATTAGAGAAATGAATTAAATTTTACTTTGTTTTAATTCAATAATCTGGCATATATAACAGCTAATCTCCTAATTCAAATTCAGAATATTTTATATAATGTAGTGAAAATCAATAAATACATTATATTTCCGAACATTAAACAACTTTATTATTTTATGCTTGTCTACAAATGCTTTTGAAACTCATAATCTATAGAAGACTAAAAAAATTTAGTGTGCTTATTCTGCACGTATAGCTAAAAAAAAGAAAAAAAGTGTTATGCATGTTGATTATTTTTCATAATTATATGATTTAATATATTCATATTTATATCATTGCTTGTCAATGTGAAATTGATCGATTAACAACGAGAATCAATCAATTAAAACCATTATATATGGCTAATCAAATAACAAGTGCACAAACAATTGAATTATCACAAGCTGCTGGACAAAAACTTTTGGCACAATGTGAATTAGATAAATTAAATGCTGGTAAACCCATTTTCAAATATCCTCATGGACTCTCACCCTCTTCCTTTTAGAAGGTCAACGTCGTAATAATGCAAATCAAACAACAGCAATTGGCAGTAATTAACTATTGATGAAGTTATTGTCTATTGTCTGTTGTCTATTGTCTATTGTCTATTGTCTGTTGTCTATTGTCTGTTGTCCATTGTCTGTCGTCTGTTGTCGGTTGCCTGTTGTCTTTTGTTTATTGTCTATTGCCTGTTTTCTGTCCTTTTGGTTTGTTGTTTTATCCTTCTTTTCTTTTTTTTCTTTTCTGATTGACAGGTTATTCTTATTTCGTTGAAAGATCTAAAAACAAAATATTTTTCAAAATTATCTTTTATTTTACCTCGAAGTGATATTCGATTAGTTTCGATCATATAAGATAATGTCCATATACAATAAATTAATTTTCGAATATTATTTACTAAATAAGAAGAAATATATGTCGGGGGAGAAATTATCATAAAACACTCTATTAATGGATGATTACCAACAATAGGTGGCATTTCCTATTGCCAGTTGATATATATGATATTATTGATGTAGATTTTCTATGTAACAAAAAGCTTATTGAAATGTTTGAAAAAAAAACAAAATGAGAAAGATTTTTAAAAGTAAACATGCACTATAATAGTTTGCATATCTCATTATTATTATAATGTGAGAACATAATAAATAATTGTAAATACTAATGAAATTCTAACTTTATTTTCTTNTGGATAGACTTTGGCACCAAAAGCGAAACAAATGCCCCCTCGTGTTTTATTTTTTAATACACATACATCAGCCAACTGTACCCCTGCCCCCCCCCCCCCCTCTCCGCATTTTTTTCCTCCTGAACAAATAGTCTGCTCGATAGGAACAAAAAAAAGAAGAAGTATGAGTTCAACTTTGCGTGTAGACTGTACTAATGTGACATCGAACAATTTGATTAGATCACACTTCAAAAAAAAAAAAAAAAGAAAAATTTCTTTACTTGATTTCGATTGATTATACATAGTAGTTGTTGCTTGAAATTATAGTTTTCTATTGTTTTATTTAATATTAAATCACCATATTTTTTATCGATATCAATATTTAATTCAGAATTTTGTTTTAAACATTGATTAAATTCATTAAATCGACTTGGTTTTGTTTCTTCAAGTAAAACAAAACCATGTTGAGCATTCTTTGGTATAATTAAAACATCACTATTAATTGTTAATAAATTCACTAATGATGGCATAATGAAAAATAAAACTAATAAATTATATAGATGATGATAATACATTGTTTCTTTTCTTCTTTTTTATTTCTAAAACAAAAAAAAAATGGAGAAAAAGCTAAAAGAATAGAGTTCACTAACAATAGACTATCGGACACTTGTAGAGTATGTTGAGAAAAGAAAAGAAGGATGTGTGTCTGTTCTGTTCAATGATGATGAACCAGTTCTATACGTACGCGCGCTTAGCCTCATTCGCCATCCACAAATTGAGCCGGTCATAAAGAGAAAAAAAGAAGGAAAAAAGGGAGAGGAGAGATATACATATATATATATATGTGTATGTATATAGTTACTCCAGCCGCCGTAAAATGATCGATTTTTATTGTCCAAACGAGTGCGGGTGAACGAACGAATGGTAGGTCGCAAGAAAAAAAGGAAGAGACAAGGACGGCAGCACGAACATACTATATATACATTTGTGTACGACCCTCAAGAGTCAAATGAACAGACGAGAAGAACGAGAAAGCATCGCCAGATGGTCAACCCAATGTTAGATTTGTCTTTACAGTATGAACATGTATGTTTTAGCAAATAATACAAAGCTAGAAAATATCATATAAAACAAAACAGATGACAATTGATGATAAGAATTAAGACATCGTCAAGATTCTTTCTCGAATAACTTTCTTTTTTGTGTCTTCTATATAAATAGAAAGAAATATTTGTTTGTTTTATCAGGTCACAAAAGCATCTATTACATGCGACATGATTTTAAGGGGCGCGAGAAGAAAAAAAAACCCTATATCTCAATGTATTGTATAATCGATTATTGCTACATGGAACAAAGAGAAGAAAAAAAAAATGTTTCTTTAGTCGAATGTATATCAAATATTTTGTTTTTTCGTTATGTTTTACTTATTCTGTATGTTTAATGCCCTTTAGTACCGAACTGTTTGAAGTATATAGTTCCGTCTATCACACCTCGTTCAATCATTTTTATTATTCTATTGTCCTCACCTCATCATATCAAACGCATTCGGGCGTCAAACACAAACAAGAGGCGACCACTATACATCTAACTCTCTCTTTTTCTTTCTTACGCGAACGCGCATGAGTTTATTGTTTAGAACATATACAGCAAAAAAAAAAGGCGTCTACAGTTCTCGTTTACTATAACGACAAGAAGAAGAAGATGAAGATGAAGGCGAACAAGAAGAAGAAGAAGAAGAAGAAGAAGAAAAGATAAAGAACAAAAAGAGAAAAACTTCTATATGTCGAACATAAGAGAAAGAGTTCCATCGTTGGCCAACGTACATAGATGAAGAGTGAGCGTTCAGCAGCTGCAACGGCAGGATGAACTTTTGTGCAAGAAAGAAAGAAAAAAAATCGAGAGAATAAAAGAAGGTCATGAGCGCAAGCAAAGGAGCGACAAGAAAAGTTATTCTGTAGTGAGCAGATATAGCGCTTCTCCAATTACGAATAATGACATTCTGATATATATAGTAGACACGCGACACAATGAATAGTACTATATAGATGTCTGGTACTTTTTTTTATGCTTTTTTTTTTGTTCTTTTTTCTTATAACAAATGTGAAGAGGAATAATTAAATGACATTTAACCAATTCTATGTTCATCTTTGACCCATATCCGAATAAACATATTGTGATAACAGCAGGGAATAAATGCTTATAGCTTATAGGCACCAAGAGGCAATAATAAAAAATGACTGTCTGAAGTAATCAAAATTGCAACCTGTTGGGAAAATGAATTAAAGATGATAGAAGAAGACAAATATTTTTTTTTGTTGTAACCGAAATTAATCGATTGATTAAAGAAAATATGTAGCACATGTTATTTTTAATCAAGATAAATCATGAAATTCATTTTCTATTCTGTTTAGATATCAAAAGCCCAAAATAAAAATAAAATGCAAAACGAAAGAATTGATATATGAAGAAAATAAAAAGAATTGAATTTTTTTTCTGATTCAATGAACACATCACAATAATTCAAAAAAGTGAATGATTTATTATATTCACTCTACCATAGTTACGATTGCGATACTCGAATCATTGTTACACAAAACCAATAGAATGAAAATGACTTATTCAAATACGGTCATTGATTTTATTAAGTAAATGACGAAACATCTTTAAAATAGAAACTGTCAATATGACAGAAGACAAAGAAAAAAATTTAAGTTAATATTATTACGAAAAGACATTCAATATTTTTGAAAATTTTATTTTATTCAACAAAATCTGATTATATATCAAGATAAAAATAAATTTGTATATCTTTGTCAGTCATGCATCATTGATCATAATTTATCACAAATTGTCAAATCTCTAAACAATAACTTATAATCGAGATTGATCAAACAAAAAACGAAACAAAACAATATCGATAAAAAAAAAATTACAATACATTTATATTTATTGTACATTTCTAGAATGTTGAAATATATTTATTCTTGATTGTTCAATTTGTGTTTTAACTTCATTAAAACTTTCTTTAATATGTGGCCAAAAAATATCGAAATATGACCATGTATAAGAAAATAAATTGTGTAAAAAATCATTAAGATAATTTACTAAAGGAAAATATATCAATATGATTTGTAAAAATCGATAAATCATTGGAAACATAATTACAAATGTGCATATGTATGATATCAATGCAATCGACATTGTTAATATGGGAGAATTATTATAACGATCATAAACATGAGCACCAGCTGTTATACTTATACATAATGATGTTAAAATTCGAAGAATTTCTAAACCATGTGTTAATAATAATCGACCAATAAGTAAATAAGTCAATAAAGATAAAATTATTCGTAATAAAATGTTTATTGGAAGTATTATTAGAAAACAAATAGCAATTGTAGTATTGCATAAATGTAATATAAAATATTTTGTTGGATCATGAATATATGTTATGCGTAAATATTTTTGACTAAATTGAACTGTTTGCTGATTAATTTTTTCTCGAAATAATTGTAATTTTAATCCAACATTATTAGCAGATTTAATTATTGAACGACGTAATATATGATACAATAATGGATAAATCAAAGCAAAATAAAAGGTTAATATCATAATTAAAAGAAAAAATTTCGAAATAAAATGATCTTCAATTCGTCTAAATATAATATATTTACACACAATAAAAAATGAAAATAAAAACATGATTATATTTGGTTGATATAAAATTATATATATTAAATTTGTATATAAATAAATTAATAAAAAGCAAATAATTAATATTGTTAATAACCATGATACATTATTAAATAAACAATCAATAAAAATATAATATAATAAATAAAATGTTATAAATAAATTAACAAATTCACAATAAAATCTTTTATAATTATTATTTCCTTCTAGAAATGTTCGAAAATTTAATAATGTTATATTATGTATAAATTCTTGAATTGAATTACTAATCAAAAGATTATTTAAAAATGGAAATAAAAATGTTGTTAATAAAAGTGTTAATGGAATATTTAAAAATGATTTTATTGGTATAATATAATGTTGTATTATAATTGCAAATATAAATGGATAAAGATGTCGATCAATAGCTTCAAGTATATGCCATAATGTTGTTGTTACAAGAATTATTACACTTATTGAAATGCATATATTAAAACTAATACCAAAGAATAAATATGAATAAATTTCATAACCACAATATATTGCTGGACCAACTGAACCATATACTAACATAATACGAATACTTTCAATAGGCCATAATTTTTGATTGGATTCAAATATCCATATTGACGGTAACATTTGACGAAATTTTGTACTATTTGAACGAAGAATTCGATTAGAAAATAAATCGATAAATTTAAACCAATAATTAACTAATTTATTTATTATAGGTAGAATATAAATAAGAAGTATTGGTATTATATACCAATAATTGACAAGTAGAATTAACAAACTGCTTGTTAACCATAGGAATGAATGTTGATAACGATATTTATAAGCTATTTGAGAACCAACTGCTACACTTATAATTGATGCTGCTAATTTAAGAAGTATTTGATTTTTATAAGCTTGACGCATAAGATTTTTAGCATAAAGTTTTAAGACCGCAAATGGTCCGACAATCGCATACATCAATAGAATGAGTGGTGGCGCCATGTTGTTCTTAATTTTATAACTTTATCGTTTGAAGAGAACGATGTAAATGTATTTTTCTACACGCCTACTGACAGTCATTCGCATACACACGGCTCTTTTTTCACATCTACAGAATTGCAAGGAAAGCATGCAATAGCAATTGTGTAACGAGTGTAACCGAATGACAAATAAGGTGTACATCGCGTGCGTATTATTTCGATTTACGCACTGCTTTTTTATTGATCGAAATCATGCAACTGATGCACTATTGAATCTATTTTCTGATTCGTTTTTTTTTGTTTTGTTTTTTCGTATTTATTTATTTATAAACAAATGCATTTGCTTTGTTATATATCAAATAAAGAAACTATAAAAAAAAAAAAGAAAAAGGCAAGAAAACAGTCATGTACATTTATTTATATATATATATATATTATCTATTTATCATTCAAAGATGTAAATTGTTTATTTTTTTTATATGTTCCATAGGGTATTTGTGATTTAGCTAGTGCTAAACGTTTTTCTAAATGTTCAATGTCTCTTTCAAGTTCATCTTCTTCATTTGTATTTGACATAATTGTATGAATTGGATTATTATTTATTGTGGAATTCAGAGCTAAAATAAAAAGAATTAGATCAATAACAAAATACTATTTTATTTTATTTTTTCGTTTATATTTACAATCAATATGATCGAAATTTCTATTTTTATCCGTGCTTGAAAATGTTTTTGTCATTGCTAATTCAAGTTTCAACTCATTTTGACGATATTTTAATTGAGATATACGTTGTTGACGATGAGATTTATCACGAAGCTATAACAATGAACAGAATAAGCCGATGAATATAATTCGATTTGTTCTCGTTATTTCAAACTTACAATTGGACTATTCCATGATGTACTCGGATTTGAACGTCGTTCATCTAATAATAACAAAGAAGATTTTTGTTTTCAGTATCTTTTTTAGTTTATAAGTCAAATTATCTTAGCAGAAAGTTTCATACTGATCATCAAACTTATGATTAACAATGAGTATTTAATCTTATTAACCTTTCTCGATTTTTTTTTTACAAACATCTAACGACTAGTGAATGTCGCCATGGCATTAAATTAATCTCAGAATAGTAGAAAGCTCATTATAAGATTTATTTAAAAAGTTTTGAATATATTGTAGATTAACGAATTTCAAACAATCTAAGAGTAGATATGGGCATCATGATTGAATCTCGAAGCCAAAAATGACTAGTTAAACACCATGTCTATCTGATAGCTTTGTACCTTTTACCGTGCATGATAGTACACAAAATTCTTTTCAAATAATCGATTGAATGATAAATGAACTTCACTAATATCTAAAAGATTGATCAAACTTACTGCCTCAAATGTTATTGATATCAAAATAAAATCTTTTTTCGTATAACTTCGAACCTTCGAGAGTACTATTTTGGTTATTGTTGATAAGCTTCAACATTGCTTTCAAAATACAATCCATAAATAACTAAACAATAAAAAAACTTCATCCTCTCCATCTCGTTGCCTTGAGTTCAAGAGGAGATACAATCTATGATAACCTTGATCATTCTGAGTCCTATCACTCAAGAAAAGAATAAGAAGCTTATAACTCGGCGAACGTATCCTTGTGTAAGCCTTTAATGTGGATATGTACGCTATGATTTTCATTGAGTTTCATTCAAGCGTTTAAAAACTGCGAGTACTTAACATAATGATAGATTGATACAAATCGTAAGCTTCTTTTCTCATAGATCGAGACTATGTCAAATATTAGTCTCTACAGATTGAATAGTACGACTATTCGTCAGTAAAATGTCGATATAGAAACTCACTGCAGTCATTTTTCATTTCACAAAATAAAAAACTTTAAATTTCTTTGTTTTGTCATTCGAATTCAAACCTTTTCGTAGTGATTTATTTCTTAATTTAACTGAATTGTTTTCATTACTCATAATTATTGGTATTGATGAAATCATTTCTTCAAATGCCGTATTACTCATAGATTCATAACCACTTGAACTAGCACGTCCCGATGCTGATGATGATGCCGTACTACTTGTTATTAATGGCATAAGATCATCATGTGAATCTAATGTAACTGTTAATGGTGAAATTAACGGTGGAGATTCAATAATAATTGGTATTGGTGATTGTGATGGATTTGATGATGAACGTAAACCAAATAAACGTTGAAATATTGATGGGCGTGTTTGACGATTAGATTCGGAGAGATTTTTTAATTTTTTTGTTGATGATAATAAACGATGAGGCGTATTTGGTGTTGAATTTAATGGTGTACGTGATTGACGATCTTGAGATTTAATTATAGGTGAATTTGGAACTGATAAACCGGTTGATGAAAGATGAAAATTTTCTGATAATTGATTATTACTTTAAAATTGAAAAAAAAAAAAAGCATCTCAATAGATTATTATTTATTTAAATAAGAATAAAAATCTTACTTAAATACTTGATCAAAACGTGTTGGAGAAACAATTCTTGATAAACGTTTAGTTTTTTCATCATTTGACATAAATGATGATAATTGATTAATACGATTTAATGATTGGCACATTAAAGATTGTTTATTATTATCAATTGGTACAATAGGTGATGGAGTTAATAATGTTTCAAGTGTTTTTTCTAACATTTCCATATCATCATTTAATTTACTTGTACTTAATTTTAAATCAATTTTTAATGGTTTTGTTATTTCTAACATTTGATTTGTACGAAATGGTAATAATGTATGATCTTTAAATACAGGTAATACAGGTAAATGACAATGTGAACTAACAATTGATTCATTATCAAAATTTATTGTTGATAATGATTTATCATTATCTTTTTGTAAAATAGTTGATGATTGAAATGATGGTAAAGGAGGTTTTGATGAAATAATAGAAGTTTTAGCCTTTGGTGTATGTTGACAATGTGTATTTGAACGTGATTTTGATTTCGATTTTTTACGATGAAATTTTATTGATGGAGAATAAATTTCAAGTGGACCATCGATCCATATTTCACTTTTTGAATTTGTTGAACTTAATGGACCATCAATCCATATTTCTTTATTATTATGATTTATTACTGTTTCAACAGATGATGAATCAGTACGATCTCTAGACATCTATAGAAAAACAGTATTTTAATATGATTTATAATGTTGTCATCAAAAGTTTTGTTATTCGGTAGAAAGTGTTGAAAAATAAATTGTTTGGTGTTAGGTTTTACACATAAAAAGACTATGAACAACCTTGATAACAAGGACAAATAAGGTTTTGATAAACCTGTATGTGTAGAAACTACAAGGTCAAAAAACTTTTCTTTGCTTAGACAAGAATATTTCAGCATTAGTAACAAATAGCACAGCCGTTTAACTTCTTATTTGAATGCTCATTGCTGTTTATATTACCTATTAAAATTTCATGTCAAATGATTGTAGTCTATTTGATTTATGAAGTTATGTTTGGGTATCCTTAGCATGAAAGTTGTGACATCGATTAGAGGATAATCTGTTATTCAGACTATTTTCAAACGTTTGCTGTAATATTTTCTCCATCTGAAAATTTAATAATTATAACCATTAGTGGAGAGGAGATCTATGCAAAGATCATTTCAAATAATGAAAGAATTTATCGATATTAACGCTTGAAATTAGTGTATATTAGATTAAGTTTTTTTCCCTAAACACGTTAATTTACCGATGTATAAAAGCTTCTATAACCCTATAACAAGCGAATTTTCGATGATCAAATCCTATCGATACTGTCAGATAGATCGTATTCCAGATCACCAAATATTATAATATTATGCGCTTGTTTTGTATCGAAAAAATGGCGTAACAACCACGTGCTTTACAAAATAAGCAACAAGGCAATTGCTATAAGTGAAAGTTTAACCCAAATTTAAAACGAAACACATGCCAAATTTTCGGTTTGCTAGATGTTTAACGAATCTTTTTTCAAAGTGAGAATTAGTGATAATGGTCTTCAAAACTCTCTGTTGAAGAGACAGATAAACAGTGTTACTTGGACTTGAGTAGCCAAAAATTAATTCTGTCTATGTTGTATCATCCTACTGTCTGCAAAAGTCATTTATTATGGGTCGGCGATCGAAAAGAGAAAAGTAGAACATATTTGCTCTACCATGGGTTAAAAAGATAAGAGAATATTGTTTATTCCAGACCATGCAGTACCTTGCGACTTTAGTTAATATATTTTTAATAGAAAATTGATTAAGCGATGAAAAGATCAAATATTATCAGATGTCATGAAACACTCTCTCATTATATAGATCAAGAATTTGCACATGAATGTCGAGCGGCTATTGAGTAGGAAAACAAAAAAAAATAGTATGTTGTACTAGAGTCTGATGTAGGTCAATTTTTCGAGATTTGACTTGAGACCAAAGATATTCTTTGATTAAACAGACTGAGTATTTATTTTTCGAGATTAAACATTCTTTTCAGAGAAGTTCTCTCAAACTAGAGAAAGAACAAAATGATTATCTCATCTAGAATTACTTTTTCTCTTATATGCAGCTTTGACCTCGGTCAATTTATTATCATTTGACCTGATCCTAGACGGACTATATTCTGCACATATCTAATCCAATCCATAGAAAATTAAATTGATGAATAACTTTAATCTTTGTTCTACTCGTATATATAGGCAATATGTAAAGGCTAGACTCTATCAATTTTCGACCCAATGAACTCAAATCGTCTGAACAAGGTATGGAAAGCGCTAGTCGCTCAATACAAAAAAAAACTATTTCGTATCTTCTGGGCGATTGTCTGACTCCGATTAGAAAGTTTCATTGACAGTATCAACTTAAGGTTCGATCGAATTCGGATCCGAAAATTTTAGACTCGATTGTCATATATCTTGTATTCAATATAGACATTCATATGCTTATTTAACCATCAGTTTGAACAACAAATTTCTGCAGTTTTATTCAAATCATTATAATTGATATATTCTATGATTTATATTCATAAATTTTCTTACAAAAAATTCAATCAATAGATTTATCTACCGATATTTAACTTATCTAAGCAATCTGATTTTTTTACTGTAACATTTTTAGTTTTCTTCTTACTTTCAATCGATGTTTTTTTGTTCGAAATAAACGTTGAATTTTTGTCCAATATTTTAATTGTTTATCATTTTTAACATTTGCAAATATATACAAAGAATTTTTTGAATATCGTTCAACATTATTTAACACATATTGACGCAATAACGATGGTAATGATTGTTCTGTCGTTAGGTTCCGCTTTCTATAATACAAATTATAGCATAGACTGCATTCGGTAAAAACATTACCCAGAAAAATAGTGTAATTAGTAAAACTTACTTCGATATATTACATGATTGTTTCTGTCTATTTGACGAGAAGGATAATGCCAATGACATAAAAATATCAGAAAATTGTTCTTTTCCTATTTCATTATCATTATCATTGGTAAAAAGTATATGAAATAGTGCGTTATTAGTATTTGTTGAACGATAGAGAAGATGAAATGTAATTAATAAAGGATTATATCGATGAACTGAACAAAGATTATTTAAATATTGACATGTTTCATTTCGAGACGAAATAAAAGAATCTTTTGATGATAATAAATAATTTGCTATTAGAAAATAAATATTAAAGTTTTTTTTTTTTTTTTTGCGAAAAAGTTTTCAGATTAATATTTACTTTCAGATGTTTTATAATTTAAAAATTCTTGTACACTAATACGAAGAATTAAATCTTTTTCTTGATCATTATTAATAAAATTATCTAAACGTATAAATGCTGATGATAGAATTGTAGTTTGAAGTTGATGAACTAAACAAAGAATAATTAGATTTATTGATTAATTTTTTATTGAAAGAAAAAATAAACAATCCTAATTTCTTGCCTTCTCGATGATGTCCACAAAGTATAAGCAATGTATTGCAAGAATTCTTTGTTAAACGTAATATACATTCGTTAAGTATACGTTCACTAATGTCCGTTGTCTGTTCATTATTAGAAAATATTTCATCAAATAATTGCGTTTGCTTGTCATCTAATGGACATAAACAACGTAGACCAACTCTAATCTAAACAATGCCATATAGAGAAATAAAATAATACAAAAAAAAGAAATTTTTTTTTTTCTTGTCATGTCTCAAAGTTCATTAGTGATTCGATTTGAACATTGTCTTTCCTTACTGATGCATTAGTTATTTTACAGAGACAAAAATTGAATGAATAGAAGACTCCCTGCATCGGTCAATCCAGAAAAGGACAAAAAAAAACACTATTATAAGTGACTTCTATATTGAATTATTTACATCTTAGAAAGGAAAAAGGATAACATCAGTTTATTTATTAAGCTGGTGTATACCATATTAAGTATGTAGATAGTAAAATTATTCGAATGTTATTCTTACTCGTGATGATAAAATAATATTTTTTTGATGATAATGTTTATTATTATTATTATTATTATCATAAATACTAGAACAAGCAGTAGTTGCACTGGAAGAATGCAGATGATTGACAAGTGAAGAGGACAATAGCGTTTGTTCTTCTTGTTGCATAAGTTCGATAGGATGCTTGGGGTCAACGCCGATCATCATTCGTTGTTTTGACGAGGACAAACTATAAATGAAATGATGAAAGAAGACATGCCTCTAATTTCTACTTGATTAAACGAACAACGGGAAGAAGAAGAAGAAGAAGAAGAAAAAAAATGAAATGTGTCATCTCTTTGTTATAGTGAATGACGCAAGTACAGAAGTATTATAAAAGCAAACATTCATAACATCTGTATGTATTGAACACGTATGCGCAAGGTTATACATGATCTCTACTGACATTCTTCAATCAGAATTGAGTTTCACTCTGTAATATATATACAAAAGATGACTTCATCATTGTACTGTTTTATGTAAATATTTCGTTCTTTTTCTTCCTCATCTATATATAAACGACACTCTTATTCTGCACTCAAAATTCAAAGAAGTGTACATCTGATTCATATACTAATAAAGTTCTATTTTAGTGTTGTTTTTTTAGTTTCATCAGATTATCTCATTTTTCGACGACGACGAGGAGGAGTATGTCGATGAAAATAACAAGAACAACTATCATCGATCAATCATTGTATCATATGACAGCCTATCTCGTAATTTTTTTAACGATGAAGGATAGACATGAGTAAATATAGAGAGAAAAGTAGAAAACTCGATTTATAGATAGATTGTTTCATTGAAGAAAAATAAGTGATGATAATATTCGCTTTATATTTGATGGCTTTATTATATTCTCAACATCGTTTATATACAAAAGAAGATGATGAGTAGAAAAATTAACAACAATTTATTGTCTATATCTTAAACCAGGGTTTCGTTTCTCTGTTTTTTTTTTCTCTACTAATATAGAAATAACAAGTCAATTGACGAACAGACCGAAAATAGATATAAGATGACAAGTAACGATAGAGATTCAACACATTCTTGGCATTGGATACACTCGACGAATAATTTCGTATTAGAATTATTCCAAATATGTCGATTGAATAGTCTATTTATAGAATCTTAATGTTCATGAGAAGAAAAAAAAACACAAATATAATCTATTACTTATTTTACAACTATTGATTCAAAGCAAACATATAATATTAGTTTACTATTGTGTATTAGACCTTGATCACACACGTGTTAGACTAGACCTATTAGGCTTATTTATGTTTACTTCTATTCATTGTCAATGAAATCTACCGTATCGAGCAAGTATAATTTTTCTTTTCAAGAATCTATGCCAATTACTAAGAAGTGTATGCTGCTTAAATATCTTGTATTTTGTTTATAATAACGACATAGCGTGACCATCTGTCTTTCTTCGAAACGACAAGTCTTCTATCATCAATAAGTAGGCAAAGAAAAAATAATTAATTTCTATCACACAAAACAACATATATATATTCATGTCGTTACCAATCTATAAAATGTAACTATCAAGGATGTGAATATAACAAAAAAAAAAAAGAAATTTTTTTTTTTCAACCTTGATAATATAAAGACGTCAAATAAACAGAAGTGAAATAAATCAGTTAGGAAAAAAGAAAGGAAGCATACGTCTCTCTTAGAGTAGAAAGTTTCTTCTTCTATAATCGACCTTAAAGTCAATAAAAGATCTAGTACGTAGTCAGTCAATGAATATGATGTAATCAGACAAAAGTAGTTGGCTGAGCAGAGTACATATATCCGGGTTGAAAACCATCTTTTGATTTAACCAAGAGAAAAGGAATGAGTGCATATATAAGACAGAGAAAGAAAGGTATTACACAAAATATCCAACGCCTAACTAATAAGCACATACATGCTTATATTTTCTCTCTCGTTCTCGCTATTGTCTACTTACGTTTTGAATAGAGAATGAGAATGAGTGAGCAACGATTTATTATTGGGTGGGTGATAATGGTCAGTAGAACAAATACACGATGGAATTGCTTTTAACAACCGTTTATTATGAATGAAAATGATTATGATTTCCGCATTTCTTCTATTTTTTATTGTCGATAATGAGTGCTGATGTAAATTAAGATCACGATACGTCCTTCGCACAGGCGACAATGATACTAACTAACGGATGCGTCAATAGAATACATAGACATTTCCTAGTAAATCTTCTCTTTTTTTTTCCTGATCAAATCTTATGATTAACCGCTTCGTTAATCGACATGTACATTCGCAAAAAAAAAATAGAAAGAACAAGAAGAAAAACTTAGAAGCATCAATGGAATACGTAATATGTAAAGCGAGACACACTAGACGAACGATAATAATGATCTATCTGTGAACACTCAATGTGAATGACCTTTCACATATAGAGATAACTTACTAAAAATTAAACAGATTAATTCAATAAATTAATCCACTCCGCCTTATTTTGGGCTTCATGTAGTGAGAAGTTTAAGACTAGACATATATGTACTGAGAAGTTCTAATGACAAGAATATTTCGAAATGATCTGGTACTGACGGCTTTAAAGCTAAAAGGCAAAAGTAAAAAGAATACAATCTCATAATCAATGTCTGATCATCCATCGTCTGAGAAAACAGTTGACCTTGTGCATTGTTGCATGTTCAATCGTTTTGTCTTCTACATATCGAGACACTAAACAATGCTCATTATTTGCTACTCAATAGATAAGACGATAACTCTTTTCTGTATGTCTGTATGTCAAAGTGCATATGTATACTATCATTTAAGTTTGACCGATCATACAAACAAAATTAAGTTATTAAAAATAATGAACATTTTCGAAGAAGATATATATATATATGTATATGATACAGAAGAATATACTTCATCGTATTTTATTTAAAACGTAGTTTCTTACTTTGATATGTGACGTTGATAGCGTTTCATATAATGATGATAATTGTTGGTGAGAATAGTGGATCGAAAATTCGATGAAGTGTTGTTAATGATAAAGGGACGACGATACTGTAATAACAACTCATGCAATAAAAGAAGACGAGACAAATATTTGAGTGTGCAAGGTTATAGAAGAAGAAAAAAAAAAGACATCTAATAACTATTGTGGGAAGAGAAAAAAAACGACAATTTTTGCTTTTAGACATATCAAATTGTCTTTTCTTTTTTATCTTTTTTTTTTCTATACGTAGCAAAATGGATTGGATATATTCATATAGTTACTTGATGATCATCTTTTCTTCGACTATAGTTGCAATTGATGCAATTTAAATGTTCATCGAACATTGAACAACAATTTGGTGTATAAAATTTGACAAAATAATCATTGACAGTAGGAAATGATTTGATAAAACTAAAACAAATGCAATACGGTACTTTTTTTTTTGCGTCCTATATTTACTTTTAAAGATATTGGATCTTTAGACAATTTACATATATTATGAAATAAGAGAAGAACTTTTTATTATTCTTTTTTCTCTTTAAAAGAAAAAAAGAATCTGTCCAATAATTGGCAAAGATGAACATCATAATTACGAACTTTTACTTACCTATTTGACTGAGCAGGCATTGCAAGTGATGCTCGTTTGTTATTATTTCGTGTATTAATGATCAACGTTTGTAGCGAGTTCATTTTGAGTAGGACAAAACCAATTGATTTTTTTCTTTGCCGAAGATGAAGAAGAAGCAGAAAAAAATATTAAAGTACACTTCACACAAAATGAAAGAGTAAAAAAAAAGAGTCGGTATCAAGAAAATCTAACGAGAGCGCATGCTCTTTAGTCACACTTGATGATCAATACACAAGCTCTTAAAGAATAAACAGCTCAGATCTACTGTTGTGTCACACGTTTTCTTTCATCATTGAAATTTAAGACGTAGGTCATCTTAATTGAGATACTGAATGGCATTGTACAATATACATATGAAAAAAAAAGACAGTCAATGACATGAAACAGTTTGCCTTGACTGGGTTTCGAGAGTGAAGAGAAAAAAAAGGAATTTATTTTTTCCGGCTTCATCTTACTGACCTTGTTCGTACGACATCGATTCGACATTAGAGATCGCCGATGGCGATAGTATTCTTACGATTCAAGCCACGCTCGTAGTATGAGAACGAGAGCATGAAATGGAAAATTCAATAAAATATATATTTAACAAGAATACAAGAAAGAGAAATCTTACGATAGTAGTCAATCAATTCTCTAGTCTTATAAATATGCTAAATTTTCAAATAAAACAAACTTGGTTTTGTTCATTATATGAATCATTATTAAGATTAATGATTCGTATGAATTCACCTTTCCTTCCCAACAGATTGAAAAGTGTTACACTTTGTCTTTCTTCTCTATTAATAATGATGAATTGATCGAATTCTCACCCTTTACATCATGCTGCCTCTCTCTCTCTCCCTCCCACTCACCAGATGCGATGTCAGACAATGTGCCTATATACTCTCCTTTTATTCTTATCATTATCAGAAATTTCAGTTGTGTTATATATGATGCGCGTTTATCTACTCTGCCTAAAAATCTTCCGCTCTCTTAAACAATATAAAACTTTTGTTCTATTTCAGGTGACTATCGGTCTGATGACTCTCTCATCCACTTCAATCATACAACGAAAATCACCATCATCAACATGTCATCATTACATACTCGCACACACGCGCACTCTTGCACACAAAGACTACATACATACATGCATACATATATATATATATGTGAACAAAAGAAGAAATGCATATAAATGAAAAAAAAAAACGAACAGAAGAGAAGACTTGACATCTCAATTGAAATCGAACATTATGTATAGAGTAGTAAGAGCGATAAAACAAGATGTTGCCTCACACATCAAATGATGATGATCTAAGTGAATAGGAAATAACTAGATGATGACGGGACGGACTACATTTTATATTTGCTCGATTACGAACGATGAGACAGAAAGATAGAACATAGGGATCACTCACAAAACGAAATGAGACGCAAGGCTTAACGAATTGTTGTCGCCGATAATTATGTAAAAAGTATTATTTCAATGGATATATATAGAGAATTACGTGTTCTAATAGGATCAATTGCATATATTTTTAATTGCACATATTGACACTAAAATAGTAGATAGGTGCCATATTT